AGCCGAACAAACATTCAGTACAACCGGCCGAATACTTGAAAAACGGAGAAACGCATTGCAGCAGGATATTGTTGAAGCTTTGGTGTGCATCAAGGATTGGGACCGTTCCGACTAACGCTTACACGATACAATCTCACCGGCAAACCAAGAATGGATCGACGAATTTAATAGATTAACTTTTAATTTTCAAGATGATCCTTCTGCTTCATCTTGATAATTTTTTTGTAAATATTTATTTACTTTGTAATTTCTAATTTGTATAGTGTTTATTGTAATTTGTAATCTTGTATAGACTTTGTAAGTTCATCAAATTTGTAATTCGTCCCACAATGATTGCACTCTTTTTTTCTTACCAAGTTTTTATCCCAATTGGGTTTTTCTTGGTAAGGTTTTTAATGAGGCAATCATGAATTACAAATTTAAAAATCAATGAAGAAGTATTTTTTTTTATATAGTTCGTTTGTGTCATGTGTTCATTTCATATTTCAAATTGTAATATACACAATTACACATTGTAATATACACAATTACACATTGTAATTATACAAATACTTATTTCAACAACATAAAAATATAATATTAAAAAAAAAAAAATTTCGGGCAGCCGGTCGGGCATCGGGCAGCCCGACCGGGCACGGGCAGGCTTCCTCTGCCCGAAGCCCGTCCATGGGAATTTTCGGGTCGGGTCGGGCAGCCCGAATTTTCGGGCAGATCGGGTTCGGTCATCGGGTAAAAATTCAGACTTTTCGGTGGTCACGGGCGGTCCGTCCAAAGTTTCAGCACTAATCACACCTAAATAATTCTCTAAATTAGAATAAATAATTAGTAATTAGATTTTGTTAATCACTCTCTTCTTTCATGCTAAAAGTTTGAGACATAGTCACTCTACATTATCAAAATATAAAATTAGATTTAACATTGCATTGCATATTATAGAAAACATAAATTAGCTTAGGATATAGATTGAAAAATGAAAAGCAATAGGCATAACACAAGAATCAAATTAAAGCATGAAAAAAAAACTATCTTAGTTTCATTTAATTATTTGCATTGATATGAATTTATCCATGGCACTAATATGAAAGAAAGAAAAGAAAAGAAAAATTAGAGAAAGTTATCGAGGAGATACGGGAGGCGTAAAAGTAAACTATGGCATTTTTTAATTTTTTACTTTTTTATTCACAAATTTGTAGTAGAATTAAGGGTAAAATCGTAATTAATATTTACTATTAGAATTATGAGTGCTAATCCGGTAGGGAGTAGGAGGAGTGTCAATCTCATTTTTGAACCCCAAATTAGTGTGAGACCCACACATTTTCACTCTCATTCTAAGATAAAAATGGATAAGTAAACATAAGGCTAATTTTGATTCCCAATTTCTATTCCCCACTTCTAATAAATAAACATGCCATAAACGTGTTTTAAGTTATTTTTTATATTTGCCCGTGAACAGTCACTTATGTCGCTTTGCCCCTTAACTTTCAAAAAATGTGCCATTCTTTCCTCTCAAATTTTATCTGTAAACAAGTAATTCCTTTACTTTACGTTCAATTCCGTTTGTTTTTGGACTTCTTAAAAGTCAGGGAGCAAAATGATAATACCTATAATCTATAACTAGGAACGGAGCCAAAGTTCAAAGTCAGTGAGGGAGCTAGAGTTCAAAGTCAATATATGTTTAGTTGGAGGATTCAAATTATGATTTGAATCATAATTAATAGTTTGTTACAGTATTTTTTCTCATAAAAAATACATATAAATTAAAAATAATTTTAATCACATGATTTTAATCCATGAACCAAACGTTTTGTAAATTCAAGCGCCAAAAAAAAAAGTCTTTATGTAAATTGCATCACAATATCAGCAAAGCAATAGAAACTTATATATATATATATATATATATATAAAATGAAAAAAGTAGAAAACAGAAAGAGAATCAATGTTAAATAGGAGCACTCTAGTCTCTACCAAGAGATTATAAAGAATTAAAATAGTAAAATATGTGGAGAGAAAATTCAACCACGAAATAAAAAGAGGGAAAAAAGAGAGAGACCGAGTGATATAACGATGTAAGCCAAACGAAAATAAAATTATAAAAAGATATTTGTAATGTATGAATGAAAATGCAATATATGAGGGATAAAAAAGGAATTTAATTGTTTTTTTTTTTTTTTTTTTTAAAGAGAGTGGATAGAAACGTGGTGAATTACATAAACCCAAAAACACTACAAAAAAGTAAAATGACAGTCTGGACAGAAAAGGTTATTTGGAGCATGATTTTAGGAACTTATAAAGGCAAAATTATTTTCGTGATATTTCAGTAGGGACACGTAGGGTAATATGCTAAAATGATTTTTTAACAAAGTAAAATTAGTAAAATGATTTTTTTTTATTTTTTATAAATAAAGACATTTACTCATTGTTAATAAACATGCTAAATTAAAATTAATAGGTTAATAGTTTATATAAGTTAATAAACAGGCTAAATTACTGTTTTCGTTAATAACTTGACAAGTTATTGTCCATAACTTATCTGGTTATGAACCCTAACTTGACAAGTTTGTCCATAACTTATCTGGTTATGAACTATAACTTGACAAGTTTATCCATAACTTATCTGGTTATGAACCATAACTTGATAAATTATGACCTATTAATTTCTATAATTAAAAATTAACCTATATACTTTCTTAAACTTTTTATATTGGCCTATTTGCTACCGTTTCCCTTTCTTTTAATTCGTTTTGTAATGAATTGTATTTTGTTTGAACTAATTTAATTTTATCGTTCGCCATGTTTATGCTTAATTTTGTAATTAATTTTATGATAATAGTGTGAAAAAAGGTGTAGACCCAATCCACAAATCTCTATAATCTCATCCATGGAATTCGTTGCTTGCGGATTGAATTGGATTGGAGGTCTCACTGATTGATAAAGAATCGGGAATTTTCTACTTTAAAGTAATGAATTGGATTGCAGATTACCCATTAATTTGTGTGGAGTGAACACTCCTAAAAATGACATAAATAGTTCAATGGATAAATATAAAAACAATAATTTTAGTGACACACCTTTCTTAACTCTCCACATTGCCTTATTCTTAATACACATCATCCATAATTATGATTTAATATACTTGTTAAAAAGTCTTACTTATAATATTTTCATAAAATGATTACTTTAAACCACCTCATTTTTTTCACACCCATCATTTTATTTTTCTTATTTCTCTAGCTCTCTCTCTCTCTTCTTTTTTTTTTTAATTCCGGGATTCGGCTGTCCCGCTTAGAAGCAGGGGATTTTCGTCTACAAATGGTTAATTTTGTTTTCGTCAGTTCTGAATTCAATTTATTGTTTTTGATTGAATTTGTATGTACATTTATTTGATCCTACGCTGTCCATTTTTTCTTCTGATTGATTATATAGGTCAAACAGGTTAATTTTTCAAAAAAATTCCTTCGGATCTATTATACGATTGTTTTGAGCTTATTCAGAGATCATTTCTGTTAGCTAATCTTGTTTCTCTTTGAAGAATATCAGTGGTCTTTATAGAATTATTCGCTTAATATTGATTGATCTTTTTGTATGTTTCTTCTTCTTCTTCTTCTTCTTCTCACTCTCACGGTTGTAAATATTATGAAACTATGGCTTTGATTTGATTGATTTTGTTAATAATTTGTTATCTTCTTCTTCTTTGTAAATATTATGAAACTATGGCTTTGATTTGATTGATTTTGTTAATAATTTGTTATCTTCTTTTTCTATGGCTTTGACTTGATTGATTTTGTTTATCTTCGCATGCGTTTAGTTCAAGAATTCGTACTATGATTTGGATCATAGTTCGTTATAGTATTTTTTTTCACAAAAAATACACATAAATTAAAAATAATTCTGAATCATAATTTTAAATTTATCAACCAAACAACGCATCTTCTTCTTCTATGGCTTTGACTTGATTGATTTTGTTTATCTTCTTCTTTTATGGCTTTGATTTGATTGATTTTGTTAATCATTTGTTATCTTCTTCTTCTTCTTTGATTTGATTGATTTTGTTAATCATTTGTTATTTGGTTAATCAAAGCCTCTGCTTTTGATTTGTTATGTGGGGGGTGGTTTGAGTTTTTAATGTCCTGCGTAGCATGTTTTTTATAATCGATATATTAACAATTTGGGTCTTGATTATTGCCTTTTCTTGTATTGGAATTTCCTGTTATTGGTGTCTCTCATGGTGTGATCTTGGGACCCATGTTTTTAAGGAGCTCACTGCTTTTTAGATTCGATTTGATGAACTTTGAACAAATGGTTGCACTTCTGAATGATTAAATGAGGAGGAACTAATAGAATAATTATGTATTAAAAATAGTTTAACAATACTTATTATTTATGTAACATGTGTTATTTTTGTTAAAAAACTTAACATAAGGAGTTTTTTCTTGTTTGTTTGTTTTTGCATTTCAATTTTCAAATGACATTTTCCACCAAAAAAATTTAGTTGAGGGGAAAATTTTGCAACAGTTAATGAAGTTTTAGAGGAAAAGAATTAAAATTAAAGTTCAGCGGTATTTTGTGGTAAGACTTATAATTCAAGAAAAAACGTGTAATTTGTCATGTTCATTATTCTCAATTGCCGACTGTTTGTACTAGTGTCCTATTCTGCTGTTTGGATCCCTCTGTGTTCTTTTTTTTTCTTTGGCTGAGTGAAATTGTGGCGAACACTTCTAGTGATTTAATAATTCATCAACCGTGAAAATATATTAGCAGCCTAAATTGCAATTTCTTATTAACTACTACTCCATTAGCTTTGTGGTGTTTTGCTACCTGTTCATTTCACCGATTCGAGTTTAGAATTCAAGTTTTGTTACAGTAACAAGCTCTCAGAAACAGTCACATCTAATTTTTTTACTACAATAAAAAACTCTTATATAAAATCACATCTCAACTCAAATTAAAAACTTGAATAAACGAACTAAACGGATGTGGCCGTTGTTAAATTAACTTTCATGATCTTGGGCATGTATCTTAGCAAGAGAATCTAGATTCAAGTTGACATCTATCTATAAATGTGAGTTCTTTGCTTGGCAATTGAATTAGGATATAAAGTAGCACTTGCCGATGATTGAACTCAAACACTCGTCATCAACTTTGTGGCTTTTAAGTTCAAAATCACACAGAAATTGAAGCTAATATGAGACAAGATGGTATATAAAGATTCATGTCCAACACTAAATGACTTAAATTTACTTGGACGGGTGTAATTGTAAAGTTCAAAGTTGTTATTTTGACGACAATTTTGTTATTTGAATTTTACTCTATCAATCCAATTCACAAATTTTAATGTCAGTTTTTTTTCCAACACATTTTTTTTTTTATTCCAGAGGTTCCTACCATATTCAAAGCTCTTGAACTTTTTTTTTTTGTTGATTAGGGGCTTTTAAACATTAATCATAGTTTTACAATTCCCTTAAATTAATATTATTTAAAGTCAAATAATACAACTTCATAAAAAAATAGGGTTTTTAGTGCATTTGGCCCTCAAACTTGACAGAATTTAGCAAATTATCCCTCAAACTTTTAATTTTGGTAAGTTGCCACCTCAACTTGTAAAGTTGTTATAATACGCCCCATTATGAAGATGATTGTGTTAAATTAGTGTCGGAAAAGCATGTTCACTGAAAAATTTTAACATTCGAATTCAAATGTAACACAATTCTTTTAATTTCTCAACTTTTAATCCTTTAAATCTAATAAAAAAATTTGAATAAATTTAGTAAAAAGAGGCATATTGCAATAAATTTATAAATTTAGGAGGCTGATTGTCAAAAGTAAAAGTTTGGGAAACAATGTTCCAAACCACAACAAATTCAGTGAATAATTATGCTAAAAACCCCAAGAAATAGTTGAAACTTGAAAAAAAGTTATATAAAATAATAATAAAAAAACGTTTAACGCATGCAAAACAATAACGAATGTTTTCAATTTACTGTCTCTACATTTTTATTTATTAGAGAGTCCTTTATAAAGATTCATTAGTAAAACATCTTATTTTAACTATTTGATTAAGTTTTTAACTATTAGATTAGTGTATGTTCGTATTAAAAAGTTACAGCATATTATACAGAACTAATATATCTGTAAATCTGACAATTGAAAAAGTAATCCTACAGTCAAAATAGGTGTTCGATGGGTGAATTTTTTTAGAGAGTGAAAAAGCCTATTTTGAAAGAGGCCATTGTAAAAATAACTCTTTTGAAAAGTTTTATTAGTAAAATAATTTTTTAAAAATTTTTATTTGTAAAATGACCTCATTTTATAAAGAATGAGTAAATATTTTTTTTCATAAAAAATAAAAAAAAATTATTTTGTTAATTTTACTTTGTTGTTGGAAAGTCATTCTAATATATTGGCTCGGAAGGAGAAGGAAAACGTTGCGTTTTATCAGCGCAATTGGCATTTCTCCAATTTCCTCTGACAAAATCAATGGCAGCACTGTTATCTGCTACAGCCACCAAATTAAGCTTGAAGTTGCCCAACAATGGCTGTAGACAAGAAAACCCACCAACAATTTCCCCTTTTTTCCCAGGTAAGTTCCCTATCACAGCTCCATTTTCCTTCACTCTCTCGCTCAGGCCTAAAACCGCACTAAAACCCTCATTTTTCTTTTCCTTTCTCAGGGTTTTATGTTGACAACATTAAACACAACAAAAAGGTTTTATTTGTTAGTTGTACTGTTAAGAACCAACCTAGAAATATAATCCAAACAAGTGGAAAAAAAGTTAAAGCAAAAACAGTTGGTGGGATTGGAAACCGAGTTTTGAGTGAGGGACGAGATGAGGATGAACGCTATGCTCCTATTTGTCCTGGTTGTGGGGTTTTTATGCAAGATAAGGACCCAAATCTTCCTGGGTATTTTAAAAAAAAGGAGGTGACAATACCAGATTTGGAAGAGGATGTGGATAATTTTGAGGATGAGATTGAAATGTTTGACGAGGAAGATGACGAGGAAGAGGGGGTTTTGGATGAAATTGAGGATATATATGAAGAAAGTGAGATGGAACAAGGTGAAGTGAGAAGTGGGGATGAGTTTGATTGGGATTCTGATGAATGGGAAGCTAAGTTGATGGAAGAGGAAGACAATGATTTGGACGTGGACGGGTTTTCTCCGGCAGGGGTTGGTTATGGTAATGTAACTGCGGAGGTACTAGAGAGGGTGAAGAAGAAGAAGGTGTCGAAGACGGAGAAGAAGAGGATGGTTAGGGAAGCTCAGAAGGAGAGAGAAGAGGTCACAGTGTGTGCTAGGTGCCATTCCTTGAGGAATTATGGGCAGGTGAAGAACCAAGCAGCGGAGAACTTGATACCCGATTTCGATTTTGATAGGCTGATTTCTACCCGGCTGGTGAAACCATCTGGGAATTCCAATTGTACTGTTGTAGTTATGGTGGTTGATTGTGTCGATTTTGATGGTTCATTCCCGAAGCGAGCGGCAAAGTCATTGTTCAAGGCGTTTGAAGGAAACAAAGATGATCCTAAGCTTAGCAAGAGGCTGCCAAAGCTTGTTCTTGTTGCTACAAAGGTTGATCTATTGCCATCACAGATTTCTCCCACTCGATTAGACAGATGGGTAAGGCACCGTGCTCGGGCTGCAGGGGCGCCTAAACTAAGTGGAGTATACTTGGTTAGTTCTCGGAAGGATTTGGGTGTGAAGAATTTGCTTTCCTTCATCAAGGAGTTGACTGGGCCTCGAGGGAATGTGTGGGTTATTGGGGCTCAAAATGCAGGCAAGTCTACACTAATAAATGCAATTGCAAAGAAAGAAGGTGCAAAAGTTACAAAGCTCACAGAAGCTCCTGTTCCTGGGACAACGCTAGGAATTTTGAGAGTAGGAGGGATTTTGTCTGCCAAGGCAAAGTTGTTTGATACTCCGGGACTTCTACATCCATATTTAGTGTCTATGAGGTTGAACAGGGAGGAGCAAAAAATGGTCGAAATACGGAAGGAGCTACGGCCTCGGACTTATAGGATGAAGGTAAGTATTTCATTGCCATCTTTAGTCTATATTTGTGGTAAAACTCTGGAAAATAATTTAGACTTTGGATAATGTTTTAGCTCAACCGTACTTTTTGAAGCTTGAAGTTTTGTAGTAGCCATGGAGTATTTCATTGCTGTGCAGAAAGTGATAACATCTGTGACATTGGATCTATTAAGTACAATAAAGGCTATGGATTAGTTGTAAAAGCACCCCCAAAATCCAAAGTTTTTGTATCCCAGATGCTGAAAAAGTAAACTTAACTTCATTTTTGTCTGATACCAATTGCAGATGTTGACCCCACTTTCCCCCGGTTAGATATTGATCATACATTGTGCTGATAAGTAAATGTGGTTGTTTTACAATAAGCTAAGCTGGACTGGACGGTTATGTTTTAATCTATGAGAGAAGAGGTTTCTTGATTTCTAGATCAAATTTCATACAGGAATTCAGTGCATTGTTATTAAAAACTTGATGCAAGGGTGTTCCCGGGTCCATGGAGGAACATAGCATATTGTCATTATTGTAACTATTAATGATTATAGGATATGTAGCTATATGTGCATGAATATGGCAAGAGAATTTGTAAAGAAAAATAACAATCATAGTAATGATGTTGACAATAATAGTAATAATAACAGTAATGATTAATAATAATGATGATGATGGTAAATGATAAAACTGATAGTATAATAAGTAGTCGCTAAATTTGATAGTGCAATAAATACTTGTGTTGAATGTGATTAATTAACATTCCTTACTTTACCTCACGTGCATATGATCTTGATTATGACTCGGTGATGAGGAGAAAAAAAGAAATCAGTCAAAATCCAATTCAGGAACGATGTCAGAGGATTGTATGGGGAGAATACAATTCCCACAGAGAGTGATTAAACCTATGACCGGATATGGATTGGCTAATGCGTATATAGACATATATGCTTTAATTTTATTAAACTTCCCAAAAGATCACATGCTTGCCATATCTTACGCTCATGTTTCAATGTAATCTTTCTTTGTATGAGATGCATGAGAGATTATAATTCCTCTATATTCTTAATCCTTTTTCTCAAGTATGAGAAGGGAAATAGATTCTATATGTGCCTAAATTGCTGTTGATGTTGTTGGTTTCGAATTCGATTTTCTTCTCTCCTTTTTTTATTATCTTTCGGTCGAGTAGCCACATCTTTGGAACCACTGTAACTAGTTGTTTTTATATTGCTTAATATAGTCGACATGGCCATGTTGCCTCTTTTTTTTTTTTTTTTTTTTTTCCCTCTTTTAAACTGCAGCATGCTGTTTCTAAGCATATGCCCAAAGGAGCCATGTCTCCAACATTTCCTTGTTCTCTTTTTTTTTTCTCCCCCCTTTGAGAAAAGTACATGATTTATCATGGTTTTGTGCATATGGCATTCTAAATAATCAGATGCCATTGTGGTCTTTTGTTTTCTCTTTATTAATTGAATGACAATTGTTTATTTTTAAGTAGAGTGGTATAAATATTATTTTTTACCATTTTAAGTGGTATTTTTGGTTTTTTCCCTTTGTATTTGTAGACATTCTACCTTGCACTGCCCATGTGGCTTAATGAGCTACCTGGAGCCCCCTTTTTCTTCTTTTATGCTTTCAGTCCTTTATTTTTATCACTCGTCCTCTTTAATGCATTGCGTTTCTATTAATTAGTGTATCAAATCATACGCAAATTTTACTATCGTGGGTCACTTGAGCAATGTTGTATTCAATCCTTCCAAGCGTTATCTCATGACATCGTTCCCTGCTGAATATATATATATATATATATTTTAATCCATCTCCTTTTATTCTTTCTTCAGAAACAAAAAGTTAACAAAGTTTACTTTAAAGTCTAAATCTAATGATCTCGTCTTGTTTGATATCTGCAGGCAGGACAGGCCATACATGTTGGTGGTTTGATGAGACTGGACCTCCTTGAAGCCTCTGTTGAAACAATTTATGTCACTGTTTGGGTATCGCCAAATATTTCTCTACACATGGGGAAGATTGAAAATGCTGAAGAAACTTGGACAAAACACGTCGGGATTAGGTTGCAGGTATTATTTAATTTCCCCATTGCTGTGTCTTTACTGTTGGTAATCTATTCATCAATTCGGTTCCCGCCCACACAATTATGTTCAAGTCACATGCCAATTCTAGTTTAGTAGCTATTATTGAGGTTTTCAGAAAGCTTAGGAAAAATGCAGTTGTTCTTTGAGTTCTTAGTTTTTTTGGCAGGTCTGATTAGTGAATTAGTCACAAATTTAGCGTTTTTCTTGTCTTTCTTTCCATAGGCATTTGGAATATATTTTTGACGTGGGACTATCGGGAAAGCTGAGTGGACATTTGGTTCATGTATTCAAAATCATGATTCAAAATCATTTTCGTTTTACGTGTGTTCTTTGTGAGAGAAAAATACTGTAGAGAACCATGAATCATGATTCAGAATTATAGACGAATACAGGAAACAAACATCCTGTTAATAGATGTATTGTGCTATTCGATTGTATATTGTCATAGTGTTTTGATGTGGTGTTTTTCTGATAGCTTTAGTACTGTTCTTCATCTGCTTACTAATTTTACACGAGTTTCTTAATTTATGTTACTTGTTATTAATTGCAGCCTCCCATCGGCGTTGAGCGTGCTTCTGAAATAGGCCAATGGGAAGGCAGAGAAGTCAAAGTGTCGGGAACAAGTTGGGAAATAAACAGCGTTGACATTGCAGCCGCTGGCTTAGGTTGGTTTTCTTTAGGTCTCAAAGGAGAATCAACCTTGAGATTGTGGACGTTCGACGGCATTGAAATAACTCAGCGAGAACCTTTGGTCCTTGACCGAGCTCGTTCCCTCGAGAGACCTGGTTTCTGGCTGCCCAAGGCTATTTCTGATGCCATTGGCAATCAATCCAAGCTCGAAGCTCAAATGAAAAGGCTTCAAGTGGAAGATGCAGAATCGCTCTAAGAAGTAAGAAGTATCCATTTGAATACAAGAGGCAATTTTGATACAAATAAATTAAATTCTGAGGGGCTCATAGTATACTCGTAAATTCTAGTTATAGTAAATTCCAAGGGCAGTAGATGGTTAAATATACAATGTGTATTTGTAACTTGGAAAATCATTTATCAAGTATATCCTATCAGTTCAATTTCTTAAAGGGGTGATTCTACTAAAATAGGGGCAATCCGACGACAGGGATCCATAAGGACATTAATCGCCTTAAGAGAATTCAAATTAGATTATGCATATTGTATTGGGTTAGATATGAGGTGCGCATTTTTAGGCGCATAGCTGCACTCGCGTTATAAGCGCCGTCTTATTTAAACTGTACAACCATAAGCGCCGTCTTATTTAAACTGTAGAACTATAAGCGCCGTCTTATTTAAATTGTACAATTATAAGCGCCGTCTTATTTAAACTGTAGAACTATAAGCGCCGTCTTATTTAAATTCTACAATTATAAGCGCCGTCTTATTTAAATCGTACAATTGAGATGAATAGCCCCCAACAACTTGATGCCCTGGCAGCAGTAGAATTCCCAAGAAATTTGGTATTCGAACTAAATAAACATATTTTTATGTTATGTATTCTCAAAAGCCAGCTAAAAAGAAAAAAAAAATTACATTAATATCCAAAGCTAAAAGAAAGAACACCAAAACAGAGTTTGGTTAAATTGATTAATTGGAAACTCTTAACATAATAAACATAAAACAATCGTAAAAATGCCCATAATAACTGCAAAAACTACTTCCCCTCTCGTTTGTTTAATTGCGTGTTTTCTTCTTCCTCTTCAATATAAGACATGTCTTTTTCTTATTATTTATTTATTTATAATTTACACAAGCAAACAAAAGAAAAGGAAAATGTGAGATTTGATTTTATAGAGAAATAAAAAGATGAAAAGTAGAACATAGGTCTTTAAGCGATTAATTAACAAAATACCAACAAGGGGAATAAATCCCTATTCTTTTTTTAAGGGTAAATAAATTCCTATTCTATTGCTTACTTATCTAAAAAATTGGGTTTATCTAGTCTCACCGGTTTGGACTATCCCACCATTATAATGTATTGAAGAGAAAATGTAACATGATATCTATTGAACATGACACTGATATTAAAAATGTGAGACATTAAAATAACATATTATCTCTAAATATTAATATACCTTTATAATATCCCTGTTATGTTAAATAATTAAATTAAAGTTAAATAATAGTCAGAGAAAATTAAATTTCTTAGTATTACGTTTTTCTAATATTCATATTACATTAAATAAATATCATGTTATATTAAATAATGTATGCGTTACGTTAAATAAATATTATGGTTATACTTTTACTTTTATGGTCCAGTAAACAAGGCTTATATATATCTTAAAAATTTTTGCCCGGTTCCAAGCAATGGAGTGGAGACTGGAGATCTATAGCCACTGAGGTTTCCCTTTTTAGTTAATCAGTTATAATTTATTTTACGACTCTTTGATACATCTTTTTAATCTGATCCATTCAATAACAATCTAGTGGCTGGAAATTGCTACCCTACCGGTAGGGTGAAAGAACATTACCCTATCATAGACATCCCCTTTAAATCTAAAGTGCAGGATGTACTTAAATTTGTTCTTATTTATTTTAATTTCATTCCCTAACTTGCTTCTCACTTCCTAATTCCCTTCCTTTCAACATTCACTTTCTTTCTCCTCATCTTTTTCATGGCTTTCAATTTTCTAGAGATGTCAATTGGGCCAAGTGGCCCATCAAGCATGATAGCACGGCACAAAATTTTTTAGACCGGGCACGACATGACACGAGATTATAATGGATTGAGTTAAGCACGACATGAGATGATAGACCGTGCAAGGCTCATAGTTTTTGGCACGTGAGTTAGCACGACACAACACGACAATAAGGACGAGCACGGTACGAACACGACACTAGATGATATATCGGCATGACAAATATAATTTTTTTTTTCTTTTTATTGTTAATTTTACATTATTGTTACAATTTACATATTTATAAATAATTTAAAAAATATATATCTACATAAACAAAATTAATTCATTTGACCTTAAAAAATTAGTTGATTTACATTAATTTTCATCATTTTGACAGTGACAATAATCAACAAAAAATATTGTAATATAATTGATTAATAATATCATACTTTAATAAAAAATATATTAATCAATTAATATAGCATTCCTCGATAAATTATTGCCGTTGGCTATGTTTATTACTTTTGACAATTACAAATTTACATTCTCAAATATATTAATGAAAAATTTTATTTATAAATTACTATTTATAATGGCATCAAGTTTTTTGCTTGTTTTTTTCTTAGTAATAGTATATAAAATTATATTTTTATTTAAAAACTGTTTAAAAAAACAAATTTAAATGACTTGATGGTTTAATAGGCCGGCCTAAAAATTCATTGTGCTAAGCACGATAAAGACACGAGCACGAGAACCGCGTATGTGCCTAGGCTCATGAGGCTGACCGAGCCTATGATTTTTGATCTTGGACTGACACGAATACGGCACGGAAATTCAATGGGTTAGGCTAAGTACGACACGAAACACGTATGGACCTAACCGATCATGAGCCGGACCGGCACGACACGACACTCTATTTTCTTCTATATCTTTCACTCTCTTGATTGACTTCTTTTATCCTTTCTTGATTTTACATTCCTCTCTTTTTAACTTTTTGACCAAATTATATTGGTCAAAATTTCAAATATATAATCAATTAGTAGAAGTAAATTTGACAAAGTACTTGCGAAGTTATTGATCATTCTTCACGCATATACATTATTCACATTCCGTTTGGTCTAAGGCCATAGTTTCTTATAATAAAGGGATAAAATCTACTTTGGTACCCTCTAGAATAGATTCTTTCCATGGTGTTAGAGATTCTTTTTCCGTTTGTTTTATAGTAGATATTTTTTTTAGTAATAAGAGCGATGTTGATTACACTATGTAAGTGTTTTATTTGATTGTTTTTGTACTTTCAATTTATAATAATAAAAGTGGTCTCTCTACTCTATTTTTATTTGTGAGTCTAATCCACTGAAATAATTTTTTAGTGGTCTTTTCACTTGTGAGTGATCTTTGTTATACGGGCATCTTGCTCTCCTTCAAAGAGTAAAAGAAATGTGGTATTGAAAAAAATTAAATAAATAACAAAATGTATACTTTTTCATTGACCTTGAAAAAAGAAAAAAGAAAAAAGATGCAAGGCGAACGAAATTATAAGCAACAAAGTTAAGGGGCAAAGTATTGTCACCAAAAAGAAAGTAGTACTCGAGCAGCCAGGGGCAGAACAATGGCGCGTTACCCAAAATTATCTACATTTATGATTCGTTTAGTTTGTTGATTTAAATTTTTAATTTGAATTTATATGTGACTTTATATGAGAGCTTTTTACTGTAATAAAAAGTTATATGTGACAGTTTCTTCGAGTTTTTTACTGTAACAAAACTCGAATCGGTGAAATAAACGAGACTTTAATAATGTAAGTATAAGAATAAGGATAGATGAGCTATATATATAGACTTGTTTTTAATAAGTACATGCAATTTTTTTTTTCCAGAGATTCGATTCATAATCAGGAATGCAATCTTCTTCATGCTCTAAGTCATGATCTTTTATGATCATAATTACAATCACGTCCTTAATTGCAAACGCTGTGTGTAGTTATTACAAAAAAAAAAAAAAAAAACTCAAACAACCACAAAAAATTCGAGTTCTTGAAACACAAAAGGAGAGACTGAAAAAGAAAGAGAAACCCTTTTTTTTCTCCTGATTCACACATAAATGCACATTTTGCCTTGGTTGTCTAGATATCTATAGTCATATAATTGACTCAAAGCAGACATATTTAGACATCACAATATATGAAAAAAATTTGCACTTTCGTTCCTTGCATTTTGCGTTTTACTTTAATTTTTAGTCCTTCCTTCTTTTATATTTACACGTTTTTGGTGTATCATTTATTCCTCTTCACTTTTCTATTTTTTTCCTTTAAAAATCTATTTATACTACATTATTTATGGTTTCTATGAAATGCTATTAAATTTTTCCACGAAATCTCACGCACACGCGCGTTCAAACTAGTTGGAGTCGGATCAACGAGCTAAGATCGTCACTAGGTCGGTCGATGAGCCGGCCCCAATGTCAGGTATCAATCCAACGGTTCAGGACTAGCACCACGTTTTCGTGTTCTTTTATATAGAATTTAAAAACAAAAACTTTACCGAACGAGCTTAATTACTTTGCATTATAATCACAATACATGCCATTATAGAATCGCTTCAAAAGTAATACAATGATATATGTGAGACCAAAAAAAAAAAAAAGAATCAATTCACACAATTAGTATAAAAATGGAAGCGCAACCGAAAAAAATAAAAGAAACGATGTTTAATTTATAGATTCAGAATTATTTTTTATTTACGTGTATTTTTTATAAGAAAAAACACTGTAACGAGTCACGAATTATGATCCGAACCATGACACGAATCTACCAATCAAACACACGCTAACTAATTAATACTAGGAAATTTCAACTGATTTATTCAATAGAATGTCGATCAAGATAACAATTAGATCAAGAAATCTGAAGTCAAATTAAAAATCTAATAAACTCCGAGCTCTTTTTCTCTCGTTCGTCCATTCTTCTATCCTCGTCACGAGTCCCATGAAGCATTCGATACTGGCGAAGAGAAACGCCGACATGGCTAAGCTCAGAATAAATGCAAATGCCACCTGTCCGTTTGTTTGTACGGCTCTACGTCTCAGAGCATGAATAATAACGCTTGCTATATGGCACGTGCAAATCCAACATGTTGCTGTGTACGTTAGGAAAACGCTTATAAAAGTTTCTAATCGATTTAATCGCTTTATATTCGTGCGATTTTCTTCCACCATGATATAAACCATAGCTTTTTATACCAACAAAAAAAAAAGCAAAAAAAAAAAAGAGAAAAAAAGTGAGATTGATGTATTGAAAAAAGAAGATTACAAATTAACAATTATTTCTTCTAATTATTCTCTAATAGGATGTTTGGTACGAGAATTCGTGTCATGATTCGTGACTCATTACAGTATTTTTTCTCACAAAAAATATATGTAAATTGAAAATAATTTTAAATCATGATTCTAAATTCGTGAACTAAACGTCCACTATAATTGAATAATGAAAAAAAAAGAGTGATTACCTGTTAAAGACTGGTCTATTCGCAAGATGTGTTCTTAATTATTCTTTAATTAGAATATTGGAAAAGATTGAATGATGAATCGAATGATGATTGATTTCTCTGAATTCTCCACTATTGAATGTTAATTCTATATTTCGGTATATATATAGGCGCGCAAGGTATCATAGAGCAACTAGGACTCGAATTGTTTATTTGTATTTAAAATGTGTGTTGTTCTTTAATATACTAAAACCCATGACAAGTGTGTACAAGTGTAATTTGTGTTGGTCTCGAATTATAATTATAAACCGAATGGATAATGGTACTTTTAACGTACTTATCTGGATGAACTTATTTTGAGGAGTTTTGAAAAACGTCCCAAAAAAGGGCAAGACCAAATTCTTTCACTTTGTTTCACAGAACATCATATCGTATAATAATATATAGTATAAATATTATATTGTATAAACTAATACAGATAGTAGATTAATACAGTTTGTGTTGTATTATAAAATACAGTTCTTTTCTGTATGATGTATTGTATTAGTTTATAACGGATTCAAGATCGATATTGGGATTGGGCGCGATTGGGAGTCGAAGTCTAAAAAATTAAAGGGCATAATGCAAAAAATTAAGGGGCACAGTATATTTTCTTAAAATCACATTTTGATCCCTTAACTTTTTTTTAAAAAAAAAATACATTTTTACCCCCAAAAAGTTTTTAAGAAATTAAATTTTGAGCCTGAAAGTTTTGGAAAATTAAATTTTGACCTCATAATTTTCAAAAATTACATTAACACCTAATTTTTAGAAATTTACATTTTGAGCCCCTATACAACATGAAATTTTAAAAATTTACATTTTGAAGCCTTTTACAACATCTCCTTACGCCAATCGTTGTATTATGTTATGATAAAATAATACAAAACAATACATTTATACAATATAGTATAATACGACTTCCCAAACATGATATATACTGTGGTGATTGTTTTACTGTTAAAAATTCTTAAGGTTTGTGTGAATAATCTCTCTCTCTCTCTCTCTGATTTTTTTTTATTTTTTTTATAGAGGAAAAATCGTTGCAGCTAAAAGGGACTATCTATCTATCTATCTATTACCTCCTATAAAACGACATGTGTGCCTAACGAAACGACGAAACGATTCGTTAGCTGCATTTCGTTAGGTGTTTTTTTTTTTAAATCCTTCCAGCTTTTTTTAAACAATTTTTTTCTTCTTCTTGTCCTTTCTTGTCCTTGTTTTTTTTTTTTTTTTTTCCTTTTTTTTCCTTTTTTTTTTTTTTTTCTTTTCCTTCTATTTACCTTTTTTCTTCTGCCATTTTTTTTTTTTTTTTTTTTACAGAATTGGGTTTTAGAGTTTTTTCCTTTTTTTTTTCGTTGCGTTCCAGTTTTTTCTTTTTTTTTTTTTTTTTTTGTATTTTTCCTTTGCTTTTTTTTTGCTTCATGCTTGTTTTCTTTCCTCTTATACATATTGCTTTTTTTTTTTTCATTGTGTGATCTTATTTTCATTTTGAACTGTATATAATCAAAATATATCTTATAGTTTCATTTTCAAATGTGTACTATCACCAAATAACATTTTTCAAATGTGTGACTGCGTAAATTCTTTTAGGTTATACATTTTTTCCAATGTGGTCCACGTAACTATTTTTCTTTGATTTCCCTGTTGAAATAATTTCTTCTAAAATATGACCCTACCCAAACAAATTTTTTTTAAAAAATTAATAAATGGAATATGATAGTGTGCTTTCAACTGGCATCCTATAATAGAAAATTGTATATTGACGGCCGCATATATGTAAATATCTGAGATATTTATAGAGATCAGAATGTCCAAAAACACCGAGAAAATATTCTTTTCCTTATTCCTTTATTTTTTTTTTTTTCAATATATGAGATAACATGATTCAAATCAAAAGTAATAAAAAAAATATTAAGACTACTCATTATACCTTTATGAAGACTACCCATTAAGTCGAATAAATCAACAATATCTAATTTATGAATTAACAGTAGAAATAGATTAAAAAAATTATAGATATATATCTATCTATATATATTTTTAAAAATTATACATATTTTATTTAGTCGTAACTTATTTAAAAAAAATGTTTTATTTCTGTTTGAATTTGATAATTCATTCTTTTTTTTTTTTTTTTGATGGTTGGAACTTGCGTTTATTGAAGGCAAGCTGAATCAGCTTGTACAAAACAGCTTACAAATCTGGTGCAAGAGTCTACCCATTCTACATCAGAAGAACTAGATAAAGCAAAAGAAGCCAACAAGAAGCATTAGAAATTCCCTAAAGAATATCACCCACAATACTAGAGTCTGCTGATCTTGAAGATGATTGTTGAACGGCTCGACAACATTCACCGCATCGGACTCAGATCACCTAACTTTGAAAGCCTTGAGTTGTTCTTTTAGAGTGTAACTTGAGTGTAATTTTTGAGTTGAATTTGAGTTATAACTTGAGTTGAAGTTATAACTTGAATAAAGTTGAATAAAGTTAAAACTTAAAAGAACATGAACTTGAATAAAGTTAGAACTCGAGTTGTCTTTTTTTGAGTTTTTTAGACAAAAGAACAACCCCAAATTATAGCTTGGGCGAAAGAAATTCCCTCCCGAACATCCAAACATTCGGCAATGTGAGGGGAGAAGCGCCCATGAACCTAGAGGGCTGTTCATAAACCTGCAAAATCCGCATGCCTAACCCATCTCATCCCAACTCAATTTAGAAAATGTAATTTTTAGTATTAAATTTTATTTTTCAGCCCATTCAATGGCTGGCCTAAAGTTTTAGGATGGGATGTAGATTGGACCTTTAATAGCCTGCACACTCCAATCCAACCTGGACTCTAATTTGCCTCCTCTAATATCTAATCTTAAGCATGCAACTCATTTTTACTGTCTAGTTTCTTCATGTTTGAATTAAGCCTCTATGTTAAGACTAATTTATGTTTGCTTTATGTTTGATGTTGGATGAACTACTTTACTTCATGTTTGATGTTGGATTGAACTTTGAATTTCTATCTATTTGAATGTTGAAATTATTATTTCTATTTGATGATGAACTTTGAATGTTGGATTGAACTTTGAGTTTTTAATTTTTTGAATGTTAAAACCAACCACTCAACCCACCCCGCACCGCACCAACCCAACCCAAACATCATTGGGTTGTGAAATTTTTCTAACATCGTTGGAGCTAAATATGTGTAACCCGCACCCTTTGGGGTGGGGGCAGAAAAAGTCATATTCCGCACCAACCCAACCCATGAACAGCCTTATAAACCTGCTTTGCCAACGCATTCTTCAGTTATTGATGTTTACAATTAAGAAATAATAAAATGTCTATTATATAAAATATTAATACCAATTACGGTTGAGACTTGAGAAGAGATTGTAAAATATTGGTTCAAATCAAATAAAAAAAACCAAATTAAACCAATTACAATCAGTTTAATTTAAATTGGATTAAATCCATTAACTGATTTAGTTTGGTTTAAAAATCTTTAAACAAATTTGTAATTAATTTGGTTTGCATTTCACCTACAATAGGTTGGTTGGTTTGCACACCCCTCCCCGATAACTAGCCAATTTGTCTGGGACGTAACTCGACTGTCGCCCAATCGCAGACCTTTTGCATCAATTGCGTGGCAAAGGAGATGAACATCGCTGAAGTAAGGGCGGAGATTTGTTGGGATGTACCCGTATAGCCCAGTTGGAGACAAGCAGTGAGGTATTTTATCCAAAGAACAGGATAAGGGTTGCGAGACCATACTTACAAAGAATTTTCAAAGCACTTTTTCTTGGTACCTTTAGACACCGTTTCTAGTCCAATGAAAAATATAATAGCAAGTACTGAAGCAATTGCAAAGCCAGAGTTAAATTTTAATCATCGCAAATCGACAAGGATGATAAAATCCGTACTTTATAGGTAGAGATAGACCAAGAGAATACAGCATAACCGGTTAAATGCCTCAGAAGATCAGTGCCAACGTCAGGAAGAAAACAATAAATCAAAACACAAATTCAGTATTCTGCAGCCAAGCTCTGCATAGGATAAGGACTAAGGAGTGTGTATCATCTTTGATTGATCAGCAATGGCAACAAAGCGAAAACATAGGATAAGCCATGTACTGAAACTAAATGAGTGCGAAATGCGCGGGCAAAACGGAGCCAGGCTCCGGCGAGTCGGTGACGCAAGGATCTTTTTGTTTAGACGTGTGAAGGAAACAAGCAGAGGTTCTGCTGGGCCCTGAACATTTCCAAGAAAGAGAATTCAATTTCCTGATGAAGGTAATGATTCTTTATACTATTTTTTCTTTTGTTACAATTTTACATTTTTTTTTTCTTCTTAGTTTCGTAAACCGAAGAAATGCTACCAGAATGAACAAGGATGGAAGCTCGAGTTCAACAACCTTGCTCTATACATGAAAATACAGAAATTACAGAAGGCGATAAGTTGAACATTACTCTAGTGTTGGATCTGCAAACTAATGTCATCGGCAACTTTATGCTTCATTCAACGGGGCTGCTGAATGCGGCGTTGGCTGTTCTTTGAGCTCGTGAATTTGGCTGCCTTCTCTGCATATTTTGCAGGTTCCACGTGAAACTTGGGGCTTCTTTCCTCCAAATACTTCATGTTCTGTATCAGTGCCTCAGCCCCCATTGCTAAGCCTCCTGTCCAAATTAATGAATGCATGCATTATTACTCCTGAATAGAAATTCTCAATTGCAGTTCTGAATTGTTTAATCCTGGGAGTCTTAGTTCATACCGTTTTCGTGCATTCCATTGGAAGGTAACAGATGTGACTTATCTCCTTCTGTTTCAGAGAACTCAATGAACTCTTCAAACTGAGCTTCTATATTAGAAAACTCGTCACCAGCATCGAGATCAAATGTCTCTGGCAACAAATCAGCTACATTGTCAATGTCATCGTCTGCATTACTGTAGAAAGCATCCTCATCTTGATGTTGGCTCAGCCAATAGTCATGGTACCACGGCGAGGTTGTGATCAGTTGCCACCATTCAGGGGAGAAATCTTCCACTTGGCGAAAAGCAGCAGGAATAAAGAGAGGAGCGTTAGGGTTTAGTGTTGACCTTCCTCCAGACACTAGTGCCATCCTTTTCAATCAACTCGATTTCTAGTTCCTTATCTGTATATTAATAATCAAATTGGAAAATTGGATGAGCTCAAATTTATTGGAGCCATTTCAAACCAAAGAATGAAAACTCTTTAAGTCAAAAATCAATCTTGGTTTGGAAATTAAAAACGTTAAATATCTTTCTGGCCTTATCTACAACACATGATTAACTAGGGCACACTGACATGGTAATAGATCTACGAGTATGATCAATGAAACTTTGAAACCAATCTAAGCAAAGTGTAGATAAAAGCCCCAGAGATCAAAATGATCTACCACTGAAAGCCAAAATGAAAGTGTGTGATAGCTACGAAAATCTATTACATCGTTAACAACCTGAAATCAATCACACAACTTAGCTCACTGCCAACCACAGATACAAGTTCTAAGAGTCAAATCATTCCGAGATTATGCAGACCGAAAAACCAAAGTCATTATAACCGCAGTACCACAGACCACAATGAACACAACAACAATACTTGCAGACAGAGAATGTATTCAAAAACTCAATCAAAATGCTTCCAAGTCTTGTGTTAGAAAGATACATCATCAGTAATACCCTAACCCATACTTGTGTACATACTCAGACACAACACAGACAACTTATGGGCCTGTTTGATTTATGATTGGTTTTCCGCGTTTTGGAAATACTAGTCCCAGAACTAAAAAATTGAAATCAGTGATTGAAACCTGAAACCATAAATTAAGGTAGGCATGCTGGTCTAGGGATCATAAAGCGAAAGCGTCTTTTCTTTGTCGTTTGCATTTCGGTGTCTCAAAAAGTAGCTGGTTCGACAAATCTATAATGGAAGTAGGCTAATTTCTCTACTCCAAATATCTGTATATTCCTCAAACTTAATCAACGACCTGATAAATGATACTACCAAATGAAATTAAGTCCATTACGCAAATTTTAAGTTTTGAAGAAAGAGATGTATAACGATTCGTCACTTCAAAAGCGCACACAACCAGGCTAAACTAAAAACAAAATGATCAAAAGTACAGATCAAAGCCACAAAGGGTCGCTTTTTGCAAAGAACAACTAGAAGAAGTAAAACACAAAGTAAGCGCCATAACCGGAAATATCAGTGCCAAATCGCTAAAAACAAACCACAAAAAAGTTCCTAGATCGAAACATTCGTCAAATCGAGCTATCAAAAAAAAAAAAACCTTCAAATTTCGGGTGTAAAAGGTTTCTCCAAATTCATCATCGAAAGTCACAGAGGAAGTCGTTTAGAACTGATCATCGTCGCAATTAAACAATAAAATACGTAAAATCCTTTTGCCTTTCCTTCATTTTTCCCCTAATTTACTGAGTCTCCACATAGAATCAGCATCTGCTTTACGGATCCATACTATATATGAAGTTCCGTAATTGAACATCCAAAATCCTAATTCAAAATACCTATTTTCCTCAGTTTTCCGAGCAAACGAACAGAGAGTGAAAATCAACCAACGTCATCGGTTCCGCACAACTAAAATTCCACAAATCGAAGGAAAATAACTTGCACCGTTCAATCTTTCCAAAATTAGAGAAGCGAAATTGTTTAAAAGAGTAGAATTGATTTACCTTGAGGGAAGAGAATTTTCCGTCGGAAATGTTCCAGGAAAAGAGGTTCAGACCAATCAACGAAATCAAAGGTGCGCGTGAAAAGAGCGATAGCGAGGGTGGGTTTATATAAGGCGAGCGATCCGAGCCTCGTTGCTTCGGAGTTCCGAGGCTGAGGTTCGGAAAAGCCACTGGTTAAGTTCGTAGTGTACGGCTTCAAAAACTATTAGCTGCCGGTACTCGGTTTTACGGGGTAAAGTCTGGCTACTGTTTGTTGACCTGACTTGTACTACTCATTTTCACACGGTTTATTTTTTTTATTGGACCCATTAAAAATTCATTAAAAAAAGTGATTTTTGTTTTTATTCAGTGATTTCAACGATAGAAACTTTCACCGTGGAAAAGCATTCTTCGCTACCCTCATTTGAATCATTGTTCATGATTCATTCTAATATTTTTTCTCATAAAAAATACACGTAAATCAAAAATAATTCTAATTTATAAACCAAATGTCCCCTAAATATACTAGAGAATTTTTTTTAATTTTTTTATTATTATTTATGATTAAAATTTAAGTATCATTTAATAAATAAAATCAAGTGATTTGAATCAATAATGGCTTGTTCTTTTGCCCTTTTTGAGTTAGGTGATTTGAGTGTAGATTTTGAGTTGAGTTTGAGTTATAATTTGAGTTGAAGTTGTAATTTGAGTTTGTGTTTGGTTGTGTACATTTGAGTTATGGTTTGAGATAAGAATCTTTTTGAGTTTGTGTTTGAGTGAGTCAAAACTTGAATTTGTATTTAGATAGTATTTTAATAAAAACTCAATGCTGATGAAAAATTTTAATAGGGTATATGGGTTTGGTTTTATTCGTCTTTTCGTTGTCAACGCATAGAAAAAAAATCATCTCAATCAGAATTAAAATGAAAAAGTTATAGCATTTTTAAGAATAGAAAAAATACTGTTCATTAATTTAAGTTCAAGTTTCTGAACACGAGTTGAAGGGAAAACTTGAACTTGAGTTTTAGTCATAAACTCGAGTTTGAACTCGAGTTTAAACTTAAAAAAACGTCAACTCAAATAAAGGTGTAACTTGAATTACATTTTTTTGAGTTTTTGACTTAAAAGAACAAGCCCTTAAGGACTCCGAGTATAAGTCCTCTCATTGTTTTCAATGTTTTGAACCAAAGTTCAAACCATATATTTCAAATTTTTCATTCCATTTCTAAATTATAAAAGCTCAAATTACCATGTTTTGAACGTATTTACTAAATGGATCTTTACACTTTTGTATTGCATGCGGTGTATTTTAGAAAGATTGTAATATGTATTTCAATTTAGATCAAACATTTTTTAGACTGTTAAAACACGTGTGGAAACAATTTAGAAAACAATACCCGTTGCAACACGTGTTTATTGCGCTGCCAAACCTGCTGCAGCGTCCATTTTGGGCGCTGCAGCGCCTATCCTACAACGGATTTTCTGCAAAAAAAAACTGTGATTTGTGATATGAAACGTTTTGAACCATTGTATTCATCAGTGATATGTTTTCACACATGACTGGACATCAATTTACAATAGATATAATTATTGTAATAGATGTATTAATCCATGAAGTTATACCTACATTGAAAATGTATCTTGATGTGAATGGTTGTGATGTTTGAAGAGGATATGTTCATTCATAAAATGACCCCTCTATTTTTATGAATTCTCCAGAAAATTTTCAGACTTTATTTTTGTTATGGTAAATAATAATATTACTAGATATTGTGTTTAAATGTTTATTGTATCTTAGGGTAATTTACCATTAAAACTCATTAACAAACTTTAAGAAGTGATGACAAATAAAATCTTAAAAAAAAGTATTTCTATACACTTTAAATCATATTATTTTCTTTATTTTTTTCCTCATCTACACTCAAATTCTCCAACAGTCAATTTTTAACGTAAATACCTACAAATTATACAGCTAAAAAATTAATCAAACTGTCAAAATAACCCTTCCTATCAGTAGTAAATAAGGTAACTTCTTACTATTGAAGTTTCTCTATTTATCTTTTAGAAGTCTTTTTTATGTTTATGTAAACAATTATAAAAAAAAAAAGATCACTTCTAATAGTACCTCTTTTTAGCTAGTGGAATTTTTTTTAACAGTATCATCTATACATTAGAGCAGTTTTTGTTTTTGTTCTGCAAATTTTTAACATATACATTTATAAAATAATCGCGTTTTATTCTAATTGATTTAGACGAACGTTATCAATTTGGCTATATTTGTCACTAAGTTAGAAGTTCTAATTGAGAAGATTATAAGTTCGGGAATTAACTTTACCACTAATTGGAAATTTTGAGAAGTATTATTTGTCGCTAAATATTAATCACCTTAATTTTGTATCGCTCTTTGAAAAAAAAATCAGTTATGGGTTAATGTGTTGCAGCCTTAGAACAACAAGAAAGAGAAAATGAATTGGGGTGCGTTTCGAACTCCTTTTAAAATAATTTTATTTTTTGTATAAAAATAAAAATAAAAACGTTTTCAATCTAATCGTTTTTGAAAATTTATTTGGTAGTTTTATCAAGAGATTGTTTTTAATGTAAAAAACCCATTAATGTCTTTCTTTCTCTTTCTCTGTTCGAGAGAGGAGAAAACGAAAATAAAAAAAAGAAAAACGACTAAAAATCGTTTTTTATTTCTCTCTCATTTTATACTAAACTAAAAAATCGTTTTCGTTTCTTTTTTTTATCTTTATTGCGCCAAAAGCTGTTTTGAAAACGTTTTTATTTTTTCTTTCTCAAAAAACGTGAAAAATAAAAACGAAATCAATTCTAAACACGGTAAATGTCTGTGTTAGGTTTTTTTTTTTTTTTTTTTTTCGCTGAGGGACGTAAGGAAGCTCCTTCTTTCTTTTTTCCAGGAAGCTGTAATAGTATGATATTATAAATTTTAGTACAAATTAAAAAGTTGGTTTGGGCCTTATCTTAGGACTATTTACTCATAATTGCTAGAATAGCAATGAAATAGCTAGTCAATTTAAATTTTTATACGTTGTACTCACCTCATTCTTTTATTAACTCAATAAAAAGATTTATTTTCAGTAGACCAGCGTACCAATAACATCATTTTCTAACACTTTTTAATACATATCTAATTACTGTGAAGTAGAAAACTACTTAATAATTCATTTTTTTGAATCCTACTAGTGAAAGTCCATGATAAAAAAATAAAAGAAAAAAATTATCTTTTGTTACATATGCAAACACATATAATTGATATTGGTTTTTTTTTTTTTTTTTTTTTTTTTTTTTTTTGGTGATTTAGGGGGATGTATGCTTATCTTGAATTTAAAAAAAAAAAATGGTATGATAGTGTTTTATTTTATTTTTATTTTTTTTAGGAATAGTGTTTTAGAATTTAGAGTGCTTCAAACGTTGCGAATTTTATGATGAGGAATCATTTAGGAGACGTTTGGTAAGGAGATTTATATCATGATTTGAATCATGGTTTATAGTTTGTTACAGTGTTTTCTCTTATAAAAAGTACACATAAATCAAAAATGGTTATAATCTCATTATTCTAATCCATGAACCAAACGTCTCCATCTGATAATGACTAATGACTCTAAAGGGATGTTTGTTTCATATATTCGTCGTTGATTCTGAATCATGATTCATAATTCTCTATAGTGTTTTTCTTTAAAAAAAATATACATAAAACGAAAATAATTTTAAATTATGATCCTGAATTAATAAACTAAACGTCTATTAAAAATTAAATTAAAACATATCAAATAAGTTTGTGACACTCTCACTCACCGCTAATGTATTAAAAAAACCAAAAAAAACAAAAAAGCGCTACAAATTTTACCATTTTTATTTTTATTTTTGTGCTTGGATTCCCCAAAATCTTGTTTGTCAGTTTGCTTTGTTTTTTTCCTCCCTGACTAGAAAGCTACCCACTTTAGTTACCCTGAAAAAAAAAAAAAAAAAAAAGGGGGTGGATGGGGCCAACCCATGTGAGCACTTTTGACTTTGGGAATGATTAGTAATACGTAATCCACGATTAAGATAAACGGTTCGTTTAGTTCATGAATTAAAATCATGTGATTAAAATTATTTTTAATTTATGTGTATTTTTTATAAGAGAAAATATTATAACGAATCATGATTCAAATTATAAAACGAATTCCTTCACCAAACATGATGAAAATGTTTTGTTATATCAACGGCCAATATAAATTTCGCTTTCGCATAAGGGAAGGCGAGTTGTTGTTTGGTGGGACCAGCTTAGGTTTCCTCCACCCGATTTTGCGCGTTGTACACATGGTTTGTTGGTCGGTAATGCGAGAAAAAAGGATAAGAAAGACAACACCATATATCTCTTGCCAACCAAAAGTTGTACACATTGGTCATACCTTACCAATTGCCATCATTATTACTATTTCTTTTATACATGTGTTAAGGAGTGTTAAGGACGATGGCACCAAATATATACATTATGGAGAGGTTTAGTTTTATTTTAGGTATACACCACCAATCTTGTGGGTCCCGTTGAATTATTATAGGCCCCCATGATTGTAAATAATGCATCCTTTGATAGTTTTATTAGAGTCCCGTTCATTTCACCGATTTAAGTTTAAAATTTAAGTTTTGTTACAGTAAAAAACTCTCAGAAATAGTCACATTTAGACTTCGTTCATTTCACCGATTCGAGTTTTCAGTTTTAGGTTTCTACAGTAAAAAGCTCTCAGAAAATGTCACATCTAACTTTTTCTGCTACAGTGAAAAACTCTCAGAAAATGTCACATTTCAACTCGAATTGAAAACTCGGATCCGCAAAGTGAACGAGGCCTTAACTTTTTTGTTACAGTAAAAAACTCTCACATAAAATCACATCTCAACTCAAATCAACGAATTAAACAAGCCATAGATATTTTTCCATGTTTATACATATTTGAAAGATTTAACAAATAGTAATCATTGTTTAGATATAGAGTGGTGTTCTATCGTTTATTCATCATTCGTAGAAGGGAATTTTGTGCTGCCGTGCAATTGATGAGTCCAATAGGTGGTAAATTTTGGAATAAAGTGAGATTAAATTAATTAATTAAAAAAGCCTTGCGCTATAAACACATCACATATTTGAGTTCAATTGTTGCTAAATAAAAAATATAAAATAAACATAAGGCCGTGTTTAGAATTGATTCCGTTTTTATTTTTTACATTTTTTGTAAAAGAAAAAATGAAAACGTTTCCAAAACGGCGTTTGACGCAATATAGATAAAAAATAGAAATAAAAACGATTTTTTAGTTTAGTGTAAAATGAGAGAGAAATGAAAAATGACTTTTAGTCGTTTTTTATTTTTTATTTTTGTTTTCTCCTCTTTTTAGCAGAGAGAGAGAGACATTAATAAGTTTTTGTATACTGAAAATAATCTCTTGATAAAACTATCAAACACATTTTTAAAAATGATTTCTATATGATATTGAAAATATTTTTATTTTCATTTTCATACAAAAAAATAAAATCATTTTAGAACGAATTCCAAACGCGCCTATAGGTTCCTTGACGCATGTATTAGCGTCCGTTCCTTTCGCGGGTTCATAACCCATAACTCTGGTGTGAACTCAGTATCTGATTTATTACTCACGTTTAGTTGTTAAAATTTTCAACTTAAAACGTGGATGAGAAGCCATGCGAATCCAAAATTATGAATTTTAGAGAACTTTATCCCCTTTTTAAATTCTCACAGATTTGAGCCTATTTACTAATATTTCTGGATTAAAACCATGATTCTATTTCTTATTTATTTGCAATTCTCACGCTAACTAAACATCAATTTAAATTTTTATTCTATGATATGATGTTTTATTATCTATTTAAACTTACACTTTGAAACACCAATTTGAACTAGGGCAAACTCATATAGAGCAAAAGACACTAGTGACTTGCAACCACTCAGTAACTAAAGGAAAAGGAAATTTCGTATTTCTGTAAATATACATGGTTGCATGCAAAAGAATACCACTTTTATGCATTAATAGAAACGTTTGATTTATGAAAAGAATTAACAAAAAAAAAAAAATAAACAATTGTATAATATACTTTCCACCCTTGAACTTAAAAGATATATTTAATTTAAAAAATATATTTTGGAAAATAGAAGGAAAAAGAAGATAAATACCCATTAGAGTGCATTCTTTATTTTTTTTATTAATATCTTCTTAGTTAAATAAGTATGTTAATTAAGAATAATTTTCACAAAGGAGAAACACCTCAGTCGAGGCCTGGCCCATCACCTTAATTCGCACTAGCCCAACCCGTCTACAATGCGAGATAGCTCGTGGTGGTTGCTCTTTGCTACCCATGAATTTGGCCCATTTGGGCCCATTTTTGTACCTTCAAGACCTGGCTTGAATATTTGGAGTTGCATATTTTGCTTCGTCATTGTAGACTGAACTGTAAACCTGATAAACTCGCGTTTATTGATAGATGATAAAATGCCAAATCATGTTTATGATAAGTAAATACGCCCGGATGTTTTTGTATCAAAGGAATTCAATTATTTGATGAATCACAACAGAAGATTTGTACATATTCCTAGAGCTGAATTTGTATCGCAAAATTCTAGTAGTTTCATTCTCCTCTCTCACTCTTGCATTCGTGCAAATCGATTTGAAGTAGGTTTGTGGGATTGAAGGTGGATCACAAGGCCCGAAGTGCATTAGTTGAACTGAAAACAAGCAATAAGGCTTTGAAAAGGGTTGTTCTTCCAAAGGCGAGTAGAGGCAAGCAACTTTCAAGATGAGATTTTTTGGATTCGTATTGGCGGAGTTCATAATTTCATGTGTTTGTTTTTTTTTTTAAATCATAGTTTAAAATAGAGGTCAAAGTTTAAGCCAGTCCAAGGCCTGACACTGTTTGTCCCATCTCAGTCCCAGCCCACTTAAGTGTTCAGGTTGGACTTTTCATCCTTAGACTTCAAAGTCAACTTGTTTTTGCTCATGTCACGTGTCAAGCACTCTTGGTTTTTCACTTCTTAATTTTGGTTAAGCTAAATAATCTAGGGATAATACACTAAATAACATTTTTTACCTATCATTTTGAAGTAAATAGCATATCTTCTAAATATTGATAAATTATAGCATATCTCTCTTATTCATTTTGAAATAAATTATTCATTTCTAATTTCACCCACAATGTTTTCTTCTTTCTTTTTTCTAGTTATCTCTCAGCTTACTTTTCTAAAAGCTATCTCTCTCTACTGTCTCTATCTCTACAACCTCTCTCTTTCTCTCTCTCTGTAAATCAGATGCAGCTGCGACCAGCGACGATGGCGACTTCTGATTATCGACGATAGCCGCCGCGCTAGGGAATCTCTGGTGACGTTTCTTTCTCTTCGCAATTCCTGTCTTGATTCTCTTTGGGATTTCTGGTAACGATTCTCTCGCAATTTCTCTTCACGATTTGTGTTCAAAATTTTTGTTCGCAATTTCTCTTCGCTATTTTTTGTTAGGGTTTCAGCTGGAGGGATTGAAGAGAAAACTGATGTGCTCGTCGGAGTTCTTGATCTCGGCTCTGACGTTGCTGATCTCTGATCTCGTGAGTGAAGACAAAGAAGACGATGAGGAGAAGAAGTTGTAGAGATCGGGACTCACCATCGTGAAGCTTCTCCGGGAGTCGCCGATCTCTTCTCTCTTGTCGTGGTTTGTTGATTTTTGTTGCAGGTGTGGCCAGCAGGTGTTAGGAAGGGGTGGGTTCTTACAAGTGTTAGGAAGGGGTGGGTTTGGCATAGGATAGGGCTAGGATTTAGGAATCAAATTTGGGACTGATTTGGGGTTGATTTGGGGATTAGGCTTGGAATTTTTTTTCTTGTACAAATTTGGGGATTTTTTTAGATCAATTTGTAATATTAATTAATTTGTAGAAATTTTTAAATTTGGTAAATACAAATATGATAAATACAGTATTTACCAATCGACAGAGCCGATCATCATATTTTCAGATAAATATAGTAATATGATATTTATCAATAAATAAGATATTTACCAGTAAATACGGTATTTACCAGTCACTGGAGTAGGTCGTTGGCTTTTCAGATAAATATGGTAAATACGGTATTTACCAATACATTTAAATACTTTGTAACTACAATTTTGAACATGGTAAATACTGTATTTACATATAAATATTTTAGTAGTTACAATTTAGAATCTGCTATATTTATTGGTAAATATGGTATTTACCGGTAAATACAGTGTTTAATGACCGCCAGAGTCGATGGCAGGATCTTCGAATAAATATGATATTTATTAGTAAATACGGTATTTATTGATAAATATAATGTTAAACTTTTGCGAGAGTTAATGGTCGAATTTTCAGATAAATATGATATTTACTCATAAATACGATATTTATTGATAAATACAATATTTATTAATAAATATAGAGTTAAACGGTCGGAGTCGATGCCTAAATTTTCCTTCCTTATCCCAATAATCTATGTGTTTTCCATTTATGGTTGTTTATGTTTATTTTTATTACACTGTTTTATTTATTTGATCAATTTGATGAACTAACTAACCAGTGCGTGTGACTTTCAGCAATTAGGTATATGTTTGTCGTGTTTTACAAGTCGTACCGTAGTGATTCACACAGATTACCGCGTGATCTCGAGAGAAAGACCATATGGGCTTTGTAAAGGGGGATCAACACATAAACCAACTATTCTTGTTGGAACAAATTATGGCCTCGTTCGCTTTGCATATTCGAGTTTTCAATTTGAGTTGATATGTGACATTTTTTGAGAGTTTTTAACTGTAGCAGAAAAAGTTAGATGTGACATTTTCTAAGAGTTTTTAACTATAAAAATCTAAAACTGAAAACTCGAATCGATAAAATGAATGAAGCCTATATCTGTTTAAAGGCTAGAGTAATAACCCTTTTAATTCCACAACTAAGCATATGTGCAAGATCATAGAAGTTATATAGACTGTTCAAACTATTGTGAAAGATGGAATTATGATTCTCAAACCCTTAAAAAAATGAATTTCACATGAGTTTTAATGAGTTACTTAGAATCTAGGGTTTAATTTTTATTTATAATGTTGTTAATGTGTTAGAGAAATATTATTTTTAAAAGGTTAATATTCGAATATATCACTCATTTGAAAATATTTGAGAAACATAACATAATTTTAAAAGAACAAAGAAACAAAAATTTCCTTTTTATTTTACTTCTCTCCGATGGTAGATATGAAAATCAAACTCTATTATTTTGAAGTGAAAATGTCAATTCATTGCTTATTCAATTTTTTATTTTTAAAGACGTATTTAACAAATCATATTGTATCACATTATATTATTAAACGAATTCAAAATAAAAAAAAAAACATATAATAATCAATTAACATTTTAAATTCTTAAATAATGAGTAGTTCGCTATACACCATTTTTTTCCTAAAGAAGTTAGATTTAATATAATATTCTAATTTTTTTTTAAAATAATCATATTTAATTTTTTTATTATAATAAAATTTTTTTACAAAAAATCACGTATGAACTTAAATTAAAAACTCCACGCCTCTCTAGACGCTGCCTCGCAATAGCGTCGTCACAAAATATCAGCAACTCCGAATCACAGATGATCTTTTCTCGAACGCATCGCCGTATCTCTGTCCTCTCTCTCTATCTCTCCCGCCAATACCTTTACGCCATTGCCGTCGTGAACCAAGCCCTAGCTGCTCCGTCCATCAAGATCAATGGCGGCGATCGACGCGTGAGTGTGAATTGACTCGAGACATTTCGAAAATGAGAATGAAATGTAGAGTTTGGTGGCCGAAGGAGCTCTCTCTAACTGAACCATCGCACTCCAAATCCTTCTTGTTCGGCTGGTTCGTCCCTTCTTCTTCTTCTTCTTCTGCGAATTCCCTCGACGTCCTAGTTGCTTTTGCCTGCAGCGAATCCTCGCTTTCTGATTCGCTGCCCGGTCTTCAGGTACCAAATCCACGGAAGAGTGGGAATCTTGTTCTTTGTTCGCAAATCCTGTTTTAGTAACTGTAACTGCAAATCATACGGTCTAATTCAATTTGTTTGTGAAAACTTCAGATATTAACTTCTTTCAGTATATGAATTTGCTAGATTAATTTAAAGAATAAGCATAAATTATTAAGTGATTTATTTTGACATTCTTTGTGCTTTGTTTTTAATTATTTAATTTAGCGTATGATTGGCAATCTCTTTTCTTTATCCTGATTTGCCTCTTCTTATTAAAATTCAATAAACGGATAAATGAACTATATGAGCGCTTAAGCGGAAACTAATGTACGTTTCTGAGCTCATATGCCTGTATATGTCTAGTTCCGGTAAAGCACAGTTGAGATTTTTATCAAGTTTCGTTAAATTGTTGTGCTTTCTTTATTTTGCATTTTAAAATTGTGTTGGAATTCGGTAGATTTCTAAATAGGTTATGTAACGAAACAAAGTTTTGAGCTTCATGGATGTATCGTGTAATCTAGATTCTATTGGAGAAAGTGATATTTTGTTAGTATGACAAATGGGGTTTCAATTTGGTGTACAATTTTATGGAATTTGCGGCCATTTTCTCTCAGGGAGTCCTCTGTGAAACAAACGAGAAAATGCCAGTGTCTTTACAGGAGAAATCAACGCTTTCTTTGTTGGGTTACTATACTGCTGATACTGATCATCGATGCAATGGCGAATTGTCACAAGTAAGAATGGAAGAAGGTGACGAGCCCACGTCCTCAAGTTGTGGAAATGCAAATGCGCTTTATGGTCAGGATATATGTGGAAAGAGTTCTGGCCAATGGACGTGTGGGTGCCATATACTTGATCGGTTTTCAGAGAAAGATAAGCGAATTCCTATCCGAAATAGTTGGATCCAGCTTGTTTGTTGTTCCCATGAAAAGTTTGGAAGAGACACATTTTGCATTCCCAAATTGCATCACATACACTGGAATGGTCAGATAGTGTCGCGATGTGATGTTCACGTATGTAAGTCATGAATACATCTGAAGAAAATTTGCTTGATGGATCTCACTTATTTTCTCATTTTTGACAGTGATTAGATCTGGCTGTTAATACAGTTTCTTTTTATTTTGGACAAACCTAGTTTGTACTCTATGAGACCCCTACCTATGGTGCTCATCATTTCTCATTACCTTTTCAAAATTCATCTGAACAAGTGAAAGCTCCTTTCAAAATACCCAAGTGGGTTGAAGAACTTCAACAAAAGCAGCCACTTTGTGATATGGTAAACTAACTTCTAAGATTCCTTTTAGTGCTTCATGAACTAGACTTTTATTTTAATTTTATTTTAACAACTATAAACAGGACACAGTCATTCTGGCAATTAATAGTGCCACTGCTGCTAGGATCTTATTCTGGAGACATCTGGAACCCAAGAGATCTTCTTCCTGGTATTACACTGTTTTGTTTCTTCTCTTCATGAATATCTCCATCCCTATTTTTCAATATCTATCCTTGTTTCATCTGCAAGTGATGTTAGCCTTTCTTGTTGCATTTCAGGTTTTTTGCATTTATGTGGCATCTATTTGCCGTTTCTGTGGCTTTGTTGTCCACTATACTTTATGTCATTCTTCAGTCCCTTCACAAGGTCTTGAGTTATGCATCAAGCTCGTGGATATACATTACATTAACGAACGTGTTCAACACTGCTGGGTTAAATATTCAAATCCGCTGCTCCCAAATCTTGTATTGGCCATTCTTCCTTCAGGACAGGGGCATTAGGTAATATAATTTTCTCATTTGAATTTCTTGGCTAGTTTAGAATATTGGATTTTGATGCCATTTTAAATGGTCTTTTTAACCTTTGATGAGCAGTTTTGTATTTTTTTAATTATTATAATTGTTTTGATTTGTTAATCTCTCTATGAAGCCTAGTCATATAACATAAGTGATAGGTTTTCCAGGACTGAAATTTAGATAACACATACATTATGTGTTTATCATCGTCGGCTTTGCTTTTTTGTTTCCCCATTTTACATGCGGTAGACCTTTGTAGGTATTTGCTATATGAAGCCCTGAAATAGTAAATAATTAGATGGTACAGCAATTTTATTGTTTCCATCACAAAAGACTCGGAGACTCGTTGATGAAATTGTTATCTTATGTTTCTAGTTTCTACAGTTAAGACTGTCTTTAATGTTTCATTATAATTATTTCATGCTTTAGATCTAATTATCACTTCTTCTTCAATAACCAAGGTCTCTGTCATGTGTGGAATATGCGGAGAAAGCTGCTTTGCAGAGGCATTTCATGTGGTCAAGTTTAGCAGCCGATGTTCTTCTTGGAAATTTGTTTGGTTTGGCTCTGTTGTATCATGCTGAATCTGCCAGCTCATGGGTTCTTAACTTTGCCGATGATGTTACCAACAAGTTATTGCGTTCTGGTTGTGTGTGGTTGATGGGAGTCCCCGCAGGTTTCAAGTTAAACACAGAACTGGCAGGAGTACTTGGCATGATTTCTCTTAATGCAATCCAGATTTGGTCAACCCTTTGGATTTTTGTTAGGTTTCATTTTACTTTCTTCATTAGATCCCTTGCTATTCTGGGCATAATTTTTGGTGCGACTTTACCTGCTTCATTGGCCAAAGATTTTATTGCTCTAGCTACATTACATGTGTCAACTATCCATTGCTTGATCTCACTTTTATATTCAACACAGATACAAGCGATAGCATCTTTGTGGCGCCTTTTCAGGTATTGCTTCATCACTCTTTCTTTCTTAATGTGGTGTTTAAATCTTCAAAGACTTTTCACTTCATTTATAATACAAAATATTGTTTCTGATATTATTATTATTATTATTAATTTTTTTTTTAACTTTCTTCCCAAAATTAGTTAAAAGCCATTGTCAAATACTTATAATGGAGCTTATTTCTGTAACTTGAAAGACAGCTGCATTTTATGAGAACAGCGACTGTTTAGCATCTATCTCTGGTCCTATTGGCATCTTGGAACAGAATTCATGGCTAAATTCTGTTTGATTCTAACTACAACAGTCAACGATTTTATGCAAGCATTTTGTGGCCTAAACCATCTTTTCTATCTAATGATACCTGTACAAGTACAACATAAAATTTTGAACATTATTTGAAAAGTTTGGGGGAAAAAAAAATATACGGCTACTAACATATTTTTTGGGTGAATTGGAGGATCATGTTGAGTCTTGCATGCACTGATGTACTCTATCCCGGTGAAATGCCATTGTAATTGTAAAACGAATTTGGTTTGTTTTCGTATGATTTTGTGTACTTCTTTGTATAATACCTAAAACTGAAAAGCCTTACCTAGATCAATTATCGTGATTCTTTCTTTTAACATTTTCCAGGGGCCTTAAGTGGAATCCTCTTCGTCAGAGATTTGATAGCTATGAGTACACTGTGAAACAGCACATTGTTGGATCCCTTCTGTTCACACCACTCCTACTTCTATTACCGACCACTTCTGTTTTCTATATCTTCTTTAGCATCTTGGCCACCACCATCAACCTTATCTGTATTCTGATTGGACTCACCATTTCTGTTATTCATGCTACGCCATACATCAAAATTTTCCTTTGGTTTGTTAGGCCAGGAAGGTTTCCCTCTGGCATTTGGTTTGATGTTGTGTCTTGTCAGGGTGATGCCAGTGATTCTTCTGATAATTTTGACTCCCCATTTGAGAATTTTCGGGTTAAAAAGGTCATAAGCAGAGAAAAATCTTCTTTGATGGTTTCAGTTCTCCACAGCAACTTCATGACTCTAGGTGAGACTTCTTTTTCCTATTCTCTTTTGCTGGAATGAACTTGATGTTTTTATCGTAGAATGGATGAGGCCTTATCATTAGCACTGTATCTTAAATTCACAGCCAAATTGTTTGAATATTTAATCTTTGCTTAATAGACACACTCTTAGACCAGTTTTGGGGTTAACAAGGACCACACCATTTATGTGCTTTCAGTGTACGCACAAATTTCCATTGAAGAAATCCTGGGTTTTTTGTATTCTTATGTTGGAGATGACCATTATTTATACTCTACATATATGTCATTTCCTGATTTTCGTTGTTAAACTTTCTTATGGTCGGTTCCAAGCTCAGAGAAATGCATTACATTGCACCATGGAACAAAGTTAAAGCCTGCTTAACATTTAGCAGAGATAGGCACGCGTTTTTTCAACTTTCTCATGCGTTGACCTAAATCGTGGACGAAATATATGTGATGATTTCTACCTTTAAACGGATGTCTTTTTCGATACAAATTATTTGAATGACTCTCCCTACCTGTTTACAGCTTCCATCTTGATGTACTGTACTGTACTGTAGTCAAAGTGCTTTCCAACTTTTGAATAATTCATACTGCACTGATTCACAATACATTTATAGTATCTCTCATGCTGACTAATTAAAAGCGAACTATATATATCTTTCAGGAGAAGTAGTATTGCCTCACTATAAAAATGTTTTTTCTGGCATTTCGCGATCATCTGTTGCTGCTTCCGCTTACGGGGTTCTCACTGGCAAAAGGTGACTCACTCCGCTTATTTATACTATACTGGCCTCTAGTTTATTTCTCTCCCTTGCATATGTCTCTCTCTCATAGTAATTTTTTGTCCCCCAGAATAGGATCTACTCTGGTGGCCAACTCTCCTTCACCAATGCCATGGATATGCATTCCCTGCAAAGAGTATTGGTCGCTTGGCCGGGATTCTATTCTGGCTTGCCGAAGAACATGATCGTCGTACCAAGTCATCCGATTCCATTTTAATTTTTACCTAACGGAAGACGGTTTTTTTTCAGTTGACCATTCTTCCCACTCGTCTGCGGCATTCTTTCCATACAGTTCGAAAGTTTTGTAATAGAATTTTTGTACATAATACATTATGTTTACAGACACTGAAATCAATGAAAGCACATGTTGAGCGTTTGAGTTGTGCGTTGCTGGTTGTGGATTTAGTTGAAGATGTTCCTCAATGTTATCTCGAGATCGTTGTGCACTTGGAAACTAAACGAAGACAATGAAATCATTGCATTTGCACCCTTCCCTCGTGCTTATAGAAAAAGAAACAAAATATGTTATTTAAATCTAATTCCTATTCAAAACCTACTATCTTTAAGGTTACATTTATTTGTTGGTCTCAAGTTTTTTTTTATTTTTTTAAGAAGAAAAATTAAAACAATGTTTTAGCCTATATTGATAATTGATAATTGAATAGAGCGAATATTTGGTACATACATGTGATAAAAGCTTAGTATCTGTCAATAAAATATTATTTTGGTATTCTATTCAAGATTTTTCCCAACATAATAGAGAAGATTAAGAAAAAATTATATTTAAAAAATAATTACATTTATGATATTTTCATAAAACTAAAAATGCAAAAAAAAAAAAAAAAATCCCTCTTATAATAAGAATGCCTTTCATCTATAGATATACATAGTTTTTTAATTCTTAACAAACTCAGGACTCATATTCAAGCCTTTCATGCATGCATTTAATATTTCAAAACTATATTAGCTTCCACAAAGATGACTTCATCTTCATCAACACTTACTGCTCGTTTTGTAGTGGTGCTCATGCGGTAGTTGATCATGCAATATGCAGCTAAAACAGCATATTGTGCAACCACCAGGTTCAATGCAATTGTGGCAAAAGATAATATGTACAGGTGATTTCACCACAGTGAGTGCGGCGTTCAAAGCAGCCCCAAGAAACAGCAAGACTCGGTATGTGATTAGAATCAAACCGGGGACTTACAAAGAGCGCAAGTTGAAGTTGAATCTAATTTGATATTCATCACTTTAATAGGAGACATCCAGGGAAATGTCTAATTTCTTAATCCTTGGATTCCTTAGAATTGGCGGTTTTAGTGCGTGTCAAGTCTTCATTTTCAGGGTCAAGTGCTCCGAGCACCGTTCCCACTCCCAGAACAACACGCGTTACTTTTGGAGTTTCTTTCACCAAAGCCTTATCCACCCCACCAAATTTATTTTCACACTCTTCTAAGCTTTATCCACCATACGAGTCACTCTTTCCTAGTTCATGGAGCAACCCGCGTATGTCTTCAGAGCATTACTCTGTCAAGGCATCTTTAGCCTCCTAATCTCCATCAACTATTTGGTCGCGCCTCCCACCATTCTTCATCTCCAGAGTTCTTTTATTTATTTTGTGGGATTCTCTAACATTTTTGCAGGGTATTTTCGTCATTTCGGCAACAGATGGTCTTAGGACACATGTCTTTCGGCCTAATTGGGCCTAACCGACCCCACTTTTTCGTTGGAGGTCCTGTCATCATCATATACTTTGAAGTTCGGCCACGTTGGATCCGCTTCTGGCAAACCGTGTGCTTACGCGTGTCAACCCCCGAAACACGGACCCTCCGGATCTACCGGACCTCGACAGTATATTTTGTAGGATGTCGGAAGGCTAAGAGAATACATGTTGGATGCTTGATGGAATTTGAGATCCGTAATGCAAAGGCTGCACGTAGAGAGGCGAGATATGGCTCTTGACTTATCAGTTCACTTTTAATTTTTTCAGCCTCGACCGACGGATCTGTTTGAGCACTCTTTACTAACTTGTGTACTAAGCGTGGATTGTTGACATTTTTCAGGATTTCTTTTAATGTTAGTTACGTGTTTGTCTTCACACTTTGATATTTTGAACTTTTAGTAGGAGTATGTTTAACTATCATCAAATTATAATTTTTTGAGACTAAACTTAGAAATAATAATCTCATTATTTAATTACATCTCTAGATGATTTTTCACATAATTTTTTATTTATTTTTTTAGATGATTGTTTATGTCTTTGTTGACTGAACACCCTTGTGTGGTTGCGCATAGTGGTCGGACTGTCCTACCCGACTTGGACTTGACTGGTCAGTTGCTTGTCTCCCTGAAGTGCTGACTAGTTATCCTGCATGGGAGGTAAGTAAGGCTCAGGGTCAGCTGGGGACACCGGTGTGGTGTCAGCCAAAGACCCTCCGACGATCAAGTTAGAATCTTGCTCGGGAGCAATAAATGAGGAGGCAATGGGTAAGTGAGGAGAAATGTCTGTACTTTATAAATGAGCATTGGGGGGTATTTATAGTTACTTGCCGGACCCGAGTTTTAGCCACCGTCCATTGGAGGTCGACCGATACGATCATGTAGGCTTGTCAGACATAGATACATGTGTCGCGAATCAACGACGACCTTATTTGGCCAATCTAACGACTAGGATCACCCTTGTACGGATGATAAGGAGTACAATATGAACCCCCGAATATTGAAAGTACTCGGCGGAGAGATTGGTCACAAGATGGCATATGGCACAATATATCCAGGTGCAAAAGGTGTCGAGCATTAGAGACGATAGAGATATCATGTTCAATGACACCGTTAGGGGTGGAGTATCGACAGTGTCTTCTTGGCGGCATGCTCCCGAACAGTACTTGGCAGGCGTAGCCGAAGAGATGCCCAACAATGATAGTTGTTAATAAGTATTTTACACACTTTTGTCCCTCAAATTTGTATGGCTTTAGCAACTTGCCTACTACATTTTTAATTTTAAAAACTTATTCTCTTAACTTGTAAAATTGTGCAATATGCCTCATTTTGACGATGATTATGTTAAATTATTGTTGAAAAAGCACATGCAACAAAAAATTCTAACATTCCAATTCAAATGTAACAAAAAAATTTCAATTGCTCAACTTTTAATCCTTTAAATCTAACAAAAAAATTTAATAAAATAAGACACATTACAATAAAGTTATATATTTAAGGATTGATTATCAAGATTAAAAATTAGAGGACAATTTGTTAAACTATGATAAGTTTGAAGGGTAGTTATGCTAAAACCCCTCGTTTATAGGTGCTGTATTTGTTATAAAAAAAAAAGGTCATGGGTTTTATTGAATGTGTTATTTTCTTTAATTAATTTATTTATTTTTGGCTCTAGATTTGTATGGGTTAATTTCTGGGTTCAAAAAAAGGTCATGGGTTAGCAAATGGGTTAAGTTTTGATCTGTGAGATTTGTCTCTAAAAAATTATTGTTGCATGTACATGGATAGGGTGTGACTTTTGTGATAGTGCATATCATGTATTAGTTGAGTAGCTTTGATTCTGGAGTTTTCTTCTTTTAATTTAACATGATTACAAGAGCAACTAATAACGAATGCATTTTGAAAGTTCTGGAACTATTGAACAGAAGCGCATGTTCGGTTCACTAATTTGAGTTTTTAATTCGAGTTAAGATGTGATATTGTGTGAGAGTTTTTTACTATAATAAAAAAGTTAGATGTGACTGTTTCTGAGAGTTTTTTTACTGTAACAAAACTTGAATTCTAAACTCAAATCAGCAAAAAAAACGGGGCCTAATTTATTTTAAAGGTAATTTTGTCTAAATAAAATTAATTCTTGTCCATTCCACAATATTTGTAAAATACAAGTCTACAACTAAATAAAGTTCCGTTTATTTCACTGATTTAAATTTAAAATTAGAGTTTTATTATAGTAAAAAATTCTCAAAAACAGTCACATCTTATTTTTTTTAATACAGTGAAAAACTCTTATATAAAATCATATATAAACTCAAATTAAAAACTCAAATCAACAGGGGACGTTTAGTTCATGGATTCAGAACTATGATTCATAACTATTCTCATTTTACGTGTATTTTTTATGAGAAAATATTATAACGAACCACGAACTATAATTCAAATTATGACACGAATCCCCCTTAATTAAACATGCCTTCAATTAATTATCCTTTTTTTTTTCTATTCTATTCTATTCTATTATATTACTATTATTACTATTCTTATTCCCATTAGCAATTCCTCCACCGCAATCAAATGTACCGGATCCCTCCCCATGGCCGATTCCGAAACTGCCGCCTCCGCCGCGCCGCCACCGACGGAGACCAAGCCTCCGGCGACGGAGTCCAAACGCTGGGGAGACATCGTGGACGACGATGCCGAGGATCCGACGACGGAGTCCGGTTCGCCTTCGGAGGTTAACCTCGAGGGCTTGAAAATCGACGAGAGCAAGAAGATAAACAGGTTCCTTGATGAGCCAGAGGACAGCAACATCAAAGCCGTAAGTCTTCCTTACTCGATTTGAGAAGTCAGGATTTAGGATTTAGGGTTTTTGGGCGATTTTTGACGTTTTTGGCTTCCGATTTGGGGGATTAGGTCACGTCCGGGGATACGCCGTACACGTCGGCGAGTAATTTCGAGGATTTGAATCTCTCGCCGGAATTGCTCAAGGGCTTGTACGTGGAGATGAAGTTTCAGAAGCCGAGTAAGATTCAGGCCATAAGTTTGCCGATGATCTTGACCCCTCCGTACAAGGATTTGATTGCCCAAGCTCATAACGGGTCCGGTAAAACCACTTGTTTCGTTCTCGGAATGTTGAGTCGTGTTGATCCCAATCTCAAGGCCCCTCAGGCGCTTTGCATTTGCCCTACTAGAGAGCTGGCCATTCAGGTGGTCTTTCTTTAGATTTTTTTTGGTTATTCGTTTGTTTACTTGAATCTGATAGCATCTTCTGTACACAAAAGATGAGATTTTGTTTACTTGAATCTGTAAGCAATCAGCAGCTTCTGTGGGCAAAAGATGAGATTTTGTTAGACCATTTTCCAACAAGATTTAGTTTTGTCTGTCGATTTTAGCAATACCTTGACCAAAGATGTGAACTTGTTACAGATTTAATTGCTCTCTTCACTTATTATACTGTGTTTTTGTTGATGCTAAAGTGAAAATTATACGCTTATTGTTGCTTTTATGACGATACCGAAAAGAATGGGCGTAGAATCTGTTAGTATTTGCCCAAAATGCAAACTTTATGAAATCTTTTCCTGTAAAGATCATTCTATTTACTGTTATTTTGAAGCAGAAATTATGTGTTATGTATTCTGTTGTTGTGACAATACAAACTGAATGTGGCAGAATATGGAAGTTCTACGAAAAATGGGAAAATACGCGGGGATAACTTCTGAGTGTGCTGTTCCAATGGACAGCAGGGACTACATGCCGATTTCCAAACGTGCCCCAATCTCTGCTCAAATAGTAATTGGCACTCCTGGCACAATAAAGAAGTGGATGTCGGCGAAGAAGTTGGGTACTAGCCATTTGAAGATTCTTGTTTTTGACGAGGCTGATCACATGCTTGCTGAGGTAATGTAATCTTCCCTGTCAAGTTGAGGTTTGATCAAAGTCCAAAAGGCTTTATATGCCCCTTATTTCTGATGCACATTAACGTTGCTGCAGGATGGTTTTAAGGATGATTCTTTGAGGATAAAGAAGGATATTGAGAGAAGCAGTTCTCATTGCCAGGTTTGTTGAAATAACATCTAGTTAAACATTTCAGTCATGAATTATGAGCTAGATTTGCTTTGTATTTTTTTTTTCATCTCTTATGTTCATGTTCTTTCATTATGTCTTTCAAAGTACTACTTTTGCAGTTGACTTTTGTAGATTGAAATGGTGTGATTGACCATATTTTTTTCCTGTTACCTTTGTCTTTCAGGTGCTTCTGTTCTCTGCAACTTTTAATGAAACAGTAAAAAATTTTGTTTCGAAGATTGTGAAATCATACAATCAGCTCTTTGTAAAGAAAGAGGAGTTATCACTGGAGGCAGTAAAGCAGTATAAAGTCTATTGCCATGATGAGCTGATGAAAATCCAAATTATTAAGGAGCGGATTTTTGATCTGGGTGAGAATCTGGGGCAAAGGATTATCTTTGTTCGAACAAGAAACAGTGCAAGCATGCTGCACAAGCAACTTACTGAGGATGGTTATACCGTTTCGAGCATCCAGGGTGCCATCACACCAGAAGACAGAGACAAGCTCATAAACGAGTTCAGAAGTGGTCTTTCTCAAGTGTTGATTTCAACTGATCTCCTTGCCCGAGGTTTCGATCAACAACAGGTACCATCTTTACCTCCTCTCCCTTGTTCTTTATCTATTCATATATTAGTTGTTCTTTTAGCTATTGCTTTGATATGTGAACATAGAACACAAAACCTGAAGTGCTCAAGACAGGCAAGCTGACATAGATTGGATTTGCAGGTTAATTTGGTCATTAATTATGATCTGCCGATCAAGTATGAAACACATGAGCCGGATTATGAGGTCTATTTGCACCGGATAGGTAGGGCAGGGCGTTTTGGCCGCAAGGGTAAGTTGCTGATCATGTGTTCTGGGTGGTTTACGTTAATTCGTTGTTTCTTATTCAAAAAGAAGTTGAAAGTTCTTTAAGTCATAGTCATTTTATTTGTGGTGACAAATACAATCAACAATAATGTGTGTTTTGTGCTACCTGCAGGAGCTGTGTTTAATCTTATATGTGGTGATAGAGACGCTGAAACAATGAGAAAGATAGAGCTCTACTTTCAGACCGAATCTATTGTGGTATATATGAGGCGTGGTTGTTTTTCAAATAAAAGGATAGTTTGTCTGAATTTTATTCTTTGAACTTTTTTTTTTCGCAGGTTAAAAATAATGATGAAGAGTTCGAGAATGCATTGAGGCAGGCAGGCTTGCTCTGAGCTTGCGCTTGCAGCCGGATTTTCTTTTGCTGCTTGCTTTTTTCTTTCTTCCCTCTTCATTTTTTGCTGGAAGTTTTATGTTTTTTGTACTCAATTCTGAAATGCAATGTGAATTAGTGAGGAGCATTGTAATGTGATATGCGAATATGGGGCCGTGCTGCAGCCACGGTACCTCATAACTTTTTGAGTTGTAAAAAAAATCGATTGCTATATTTACTTTCCTCATCCAAAATTTTTTTCTTTTTTTTTTTATATGCATTTGATATTTCAATTTCTAAATTGTAAGAACAAAGAAATTTTGGGTCTTGTAGTTTCATTCGGGAAATTTTAAGCATGTGTGACGTGTTTCGACAAAAGATAAAATTATGCAGTCTCCTAATAAGCTATAACGTCCTCGTTATCATAGATGATTTTTTTTTTTATTTAAAAAGGACAGATTTTTTTTTCCTGATATATATGTTTTTTTTTCCAGAAGTTATGTCGTTTTCAACATTTATTATTATGATTTTAGGAATGTTTTAAAACGACATCCATTGTTGTATATATATATATTTAAAAAGAATAAAAAGCAGTCCTTAACTGCCACCGTCTATGGTTTATATGCATGTTGTCAATTTCGTAAGAGATTATCGTTGTTTTTTGATTTAGTGCAATTTATAAAGCTACTTTTGCTTCGGAAGATGATTGCCAAGCAGTGTCTAAGATGTTGTCATCTTTCTTGCAATCTAGTCGTCAACTCGTCATATTGATAAATGTCTTAGCAGTATCGTCGTTTTTGAAATCCTGTCGTTTAGTTTGAGCGATGTCGTTTAAGTGTGATGTTGTCGTCAACTCGTCATATTGATAAATGCCTTAGCTGTATTGTCGTTTTTGAAACCCTGTCGTTTAGTACGGAGAGATGTCGTTTACGTGTGACGTTAATTATTTCGCTGTCGTTTGGGAATGATGCCATTTTTCAAGGTTTTTTTTTTATTTTTTTTTGTATAAATCTAAGAATACGAGCAATTCATAAGTTAAGATTTGAGATGAATTAAAATTAATAGGTTAATAATTTACATAAGTTAATAAATAGGTTAAATTACTATTTTCGTTTATAACTTATCTCATTATGAACTATAACTTGACAAGTTATTATTCATAACTTGTCTAATTATGAATCATAACTTGACAAATTTATCTATAACTTATCTGATTATAAATCATAACTTGACAAGTTATGACCTATTAATTTTTTTAATTAAAAATTAACTTATATATTTTTTTAAGTTTTTCATATATATTTTCTACTGTTTTCCTTCTCGGTAATTACCACTGTAGATTCTTTTTTCGTCGTTGGATATAAATCGTTAACTTCTTGCAGAACTAATTTCCCTAAAAAAACATTTGCAAGAGCCAATTCAAGAACAAGAAAGAAAAATTTTGTTTTATATATAAGAATGGAACAATAAATTCCTACGCAAATAATAATTCATAGAGCTACGACAAATTTCATATCCATCACGCAAATAACAATTATAAAATGAAAAAATTCCTATCTCCAAGAGATCTACGAACCCCACTCCCAAGTTAAAAAATAATAATAATAATTAAAAACAAAAGTCCAGCTATATAACCAGATCATCAAGATCCGGCACAGGAAATCTCAAAATCGCCGCCGTACCAGTGAGCTTCGCCAGCTCCTCGCCGGAACCTTGCTCTGACGAGAACACAAACGCATTTCCTCCACCTTGCATCCGAAAACTCCTTGAAAGCCCTAATTTCCATGGCGGCCTTCGTGTCCTTGATCAAGCTCATCACCGCTCGTCGTGGAGGGCCTCGTTCAAGCTCTGGTTCCTCCCTCTCGTATTCGCGACGACGATTCGCGACTTGTTGTTTTCTAGGGTTTTCAGCTTTGATTTCTATATAAAGCGAATTCGAGATAGAATAATTATAATATCATCTTGAAAATAGTTCATTGGGAAATACAATTACTTTAGAATTAAGTTTAAATTTAAAAAATGATATTGCCGACCATCGTTACCATGAAATGCTATAAGGTTAACTACGTCATTGAACATTTGCATTTTGCCTTTCTTAACATGTACATTTTTTGCTACGAGTCTCGTCTACTTAGGAGATGTTTATTTCATATATTAAAATCATGAAATTAAAATTATTTTTGATTTATGTGTATTTTTTAAGAGAGAAAATACTATAACGAATCATGAACCATAATTCGAATCGGGGTATGAATCCCCTAACCAAACAACCACTCAGTCTTATGTTTCTATTCTCTCTCTCTCTTTTTTTAACCTTTCTCTTTCCAATTTACTTAAAAAAAAAATAAAATTTGCTCTCATTGTGTGTGTGTGTGTGTTTGTTTGTTTTTTTTTAATGTATTGGTTGTTTGATATGTGACTAAACTAGGTTTAATAATTGGCTTAGTTCCCGTTGACTAATACACACAGAGCAGGTGTACAATATATTTAAATGTTAAATGGTTGCAAAATTGGCATTTCTTTTCTGTATTCATTTTTGATTTTGAATAATGATTCATAATTTTTTATAGTATTTTTTTCTTATAAAAAACATACGTAAAACGAAAATAGTTCTGATCTATGAACTAAACGTCCACGTTTCATAAACTTCAACGAATATCTTACATGCCCGCTAAAAACTATCAGTGAATATATTAAATTATACATTATTCTCCTAACTAGACTGATAATTAATGGCTTGCACGTTGCTAAGTTGTGCCCTTCCACTTCCACTTTCCCAACTCCTCAACCAACGACCATCATATCCATACATACATACATACATACATACATATATATATATATATGTATATAATCTGTTTCCACTTATCCATTGTTCGTCTTCTATCCTTTAGAGAGAGAGAAAACAGAGATAGAGAGAGAAAGCGAGACATGGGAGCTGGGGTGGCATTCATCCTTGCCATATCACTGTTGATGAGCTACACCATTATGGCTTTAGGATACTGGGAAGAATCAAAGCCATCAGAGATACGTGTAGCTGGAAAAGTTATGTGCCAGGATTGCACCCAAGGGTGGAACAAATGGGTTCAAGGTGCCAAGCCCATTAAAGGTAAAAATAAATCTTTGAAGAAAAAAAAGACTTTAAGTTAAGATATCTTTATCGATAATACATGTTTCTAAATTTGAGATTTGATCAAATCACATTAAAATAAAAAAAAAAATGCAAAACTGACAGAAAAATACAAATCTAATGCTTTTTAACTTTTAAAAAATTATATTTGAGTCTCATAAAAGATATTTTCAATCCCAAATCCACTCATCTGTCTCATGAGGCAAATTTTTTAGTGTAATAAGGCCAAAAGAATATCAACTTGAATTATGCAATTATGAAACATTAGATTTATTAAAGGTCTTGTTATGCACACAGGTAGTGTGGTATCTCTAACATGCATGGACAATGTGAGAAGCAAAGTCGTGCACTATGCAAGGGACACGACTGATGAGTTGGGCCAATTCGACTTTAGTGTAAACTTGGATGTTTGTCGGAAAAAAATCGACCCTAAGAGGTGCCGTGCAAGGCTAGTGTCGTCGCCTGACCCAAGTTGCAACATTCTTACTGATTTTGCCGGCGGCCTGACCGGCGTTAAACTGAGCAGCCCTAGCTCAGTATACCGCAACACCATTAAATACGACCTTGGCTCGTTCTACTTCACCAGTCCAATGTGTAAGAAACCTGATTATACTAGCAATAATTCCCAAGATGGTAATGGCTATGGAAACAAAGGCCACTACTGATTATGATTCCTAGTTTTTTTTTTTATTTTATTTTATTTTATTTTTTTATGTTCACATTTCCACTTTGTCCTTGTAATCTCATTAGTTGAATTCATCCATAATTTTGTAAAATGGCGTGCAAAATTACGTCCGTATTTCATACTTGTTCTTCCATCACATAATAATATTTCTCTGTTCTATAATTGTTGGGAAAAAAAATCAAACATACCTAAGATGATAAAAATATTATTCATGTCACTCCATTAAAAAATAAATAATTATTATCTAATTAATAAAGAGAAAACAAAAAGGCATAACGACATTTAATTATTTAAAATGACACAAATAATAGGTATGCATACTTTTCTCTAAATATTCTGTGGATGTAAAGAATATTCACTTAATTATTCCAAGCATTATTACATTAAAAAAGGCATGCTCTACTATTTTTGTGATAGTATCCAGGTTTCTACTTTAAACTGTTAAATATATATTTTTTAATTTGTATAATCTTTTCATATCAATATTGTTTAAATTTAACATCTAGGAACATGAATTCTAACACGAAACCTTTCTTCAATGATTTTACATAAGAGTTGAAGAATAAGTTTCGAGTAGAAAAATGCTTAGAGTCTAATGGTTTTAAAAACAGTTCTCGAGTCTGTTTTCACTAGAACAAATTATATATTAGACAACGCTTATTTAACAATATTTTAGGAAAAAATGTCGTCTAATGTGCTTAAAAAACACGGAACGAAAATTTTGTGTTTCGAAAATACATTTAACGATAGTTTCTTAAAAACCGTCGATAAATGTAATACATTAGACGATGGTTTCTTAAAAACTGTTGTCTAATGCATGACATTTAATGACGGTTTTTAAGAAAATGTTGTTAAATGTTAAAACTTTTTAGAAAAAAAGGTAGACTTTTTCTTGTTCATCATTTTCTTTTTCAGTTTCGAAACTTTCTCTTTTCCTTTTATAATTTCGAGCACTCTCTTCCATTTTTCATTCACTCTCACTTCTAAACTCTAATTTTTTTTTTGTCTCAAATTCCCCTCTCGTCCCCATTCTCTCTCTCATTCCTCCTACTCTTAAACCTTAATATTTTTCTTCCAAACCCCTCTCTTTGTCACTCATTCCCCACTCTAACAATCCTCACCATTGCCGTCTCCGTGACTTGATGACCATGCTTAGTACCACCACCGTTACCCTCTCTCTCCAAGTTCATCGTCGTCACCATATGACCACCGGAATGCGAGAGTATTTTTAGAGTTTGTTAGGTTTGTTTTATTTTCTTTTGTATTTAAATTTTTCGTTTGGATTAATATATGTAATTCGGTTATATTTAAGCATTTTTTGTTAGTTAGATTTTTGTCATTTGTCTATTAGAGACAAAATATAAGAATTAGTTTGTAGTATTTTTTGTACATAGTTATTTTTGTTTTTTGATGAAATGTGTAATTAACATTTAAAGAGATTGCTATTTAAGAAAAGAAATAAACTTTTAAAGAACTTTTAATGACGGTTTTTGTTGAAACAATCGTTGAATGCGTACATTTAATGACGGTTTTTGTAAAAAAAATATGTATATTTAATGACGGGTTTTATAAAAATTGTCGTTAAAAGTAGCACATTTAACAACGGTTACATACAAACCGTCGTCTAAAGTTCTTTCATTAGACTTTCACATGCATGTTAGAGAACGGTTAAAAATTGTCGTCTAAAGTGCTTGATATTTAACGACTGTAGATAAGACAACGATTTTTAAACCGTCGTCATAGGTTATAACGACGGTTATTAATCGTTATCTAATATACTTTTTTTTACTAGTGTTTGATGGACACCTTTAAAATGTTTTTAATATCTTTGATGCTTGTTAAAAAAAAAGAGATGTTATAAAAAGTTTATAGTTTATCACTTTATTTGTGAATGATAAATTAAAAATTCTACCATATTCTTGTATTACATTATTTTTTACACCAATAAAAGCTTTTGACTTGCTTAAACCAACAAGTTTAAAAGATCTTTTCCTCATGTACCATCGAGAATATTATTTACTAAAATGTCATGATTTATATTTTTGTTAAAAGTAAAAAAAGTTTGTCTGATAGGATTATAAAAAATGAACTATCGTTAGCTCATTATTTTTAGTCGTCAAATTTGTATTAAAAATTGTCTGTTCTGCATTCTATAAAATTTGATGTGTTTTTAACCAGATTCAACGGTCAGAAAACTAGCTCTATGGTAGGAAAACCCTACTAGAGAAATCCCAAAAGGAAAAGTAAACGTCAACCTTCTTGCAGAAGTAACAGATAAAATCCTCATCATGTTTCTTAATTTGCACTTTATGCTGTGTTATCCCATCTGCATCTTTGTTTCCATTATGGCTCCATTTTCTTTTCTTTTCCTTAGGGGTGGTTGCTAAGTGAACACTTCCAACCTTTTCTCGCTTAAGCCTTTCTTCTTCTTGCACACAATGAGATATGAGTTCATTAAAGTCTATTTGTCCTTTTGAGTGTTATAACTCACTTTAAACTAACCGTATCGTGCTGGAAGAGAAATCAAAACCAAATGCCCGAGTAAGTCTTAGATAGCTCTGACTTTAGTACTTTTAGTTTGGAAGTTCCTTTTTCTTTTCTTGTCCTAAGGGGTGGTTGCTAAGTGAAAGCCTTTCTTCTTCTTGCACACAGTGAGATATGAGTTCATTAAAGTCCATTTGTCTTTTTGGGTGTTATAACTCATTTTGAACCAACCGTATTCTGCAAGAAGAGAAATCAAAACCAAATGTCTGAGTAAGTCCTTAGACAGCTTCAATTTTAAAACCTTTAATTTGAAAGCTATATGAGACATCTCCATAATGTACTCCCATGTTGAAACAAGATTAGTCAGCAGGGTACTTATTTCAGTCTTTTCATTTTTTGTAAAATGCTTTTTAATCTCTACAAGGAACTTCTTAGAACTTTCTTCCTCACACATTGAACCTTTAAATATTTTCAGAATTGAGCGTTTCATGATCATAAGACTCATGCGGTTAGAATGACCATACTTCTCTAAGTCCCTTTTAGCATCAGAGGAACTTTCAGCTGAGAGAGGAGGGGGGTGTTCTATCCGAAGCGCAAGGTCAAGATCCATACAATCGAGAATAATCATAATGTTTTTCTTTCCAATTATTGAAGTTTGTGCCATTAAGCATAATAATGGAATTGATATATCGGTAGATATTGTAGAAGCATAAGCATAAATTGAACAAAAAACATAACCAAATAAGAAGCTCAGAATCAATATTCATTCCATAAAAGCATAATAATCTAATATATGTATGCATGACACAAAAGTAAATCAAAACAATGGCAGGCCCCATCATAAGATACCATGTACAACAATGATATTTAGTGTTTAAACAAAAACATCAACTGTAAGTGGTACTATCTGTAAGTGGTACTATCTGTGTAGTAATCAAATATTATCAATTAATCCTATCAAACAATAAGCCTTTTTTTGGATTGACTCATTCCTTACATGGAAGACTTAATAATCAACACTTATTTATTACAACACGCATACTTGTTATTTAAGACAAATAATAACCTTAGTTTGCGCTGGACATTATTCTCATAAACAACAGACATACATCCAAATATTCCAAAATAAATAAATCTACACAATGGATAACATATTATTTCAATCGATTTACTCTTAAATATTAGACAATAATAAAAAAAAATTCTCGAGAGTATACGGATCGAGTATAGTACGGAGTTCTATGGAATCAAGTACGATATGCGGTTAGAGTTTTCAGGGCCTGTTAAGGGCCTGGGCCGTGCCTGAGGAGAAATCCTTAGGCCTAGCACTAGCAATAGCTTGTGAAATGCTGCCATGCAGGAGCAGTTCGCGGTCTTTTTTCCCTGCTACGTTCTCCAACTTCCTCATTGTGCACTGAAGCATTATTAACCAGAGTAGTTTCCGGTTCAGTGGGGGTGGGGTTGTGAGCCAACATTTCATCCTTAAAAACTGGCTCATCACCAAGCTCAGGGAGAGCAGTGAAATCAGAGAAATTCTATGCGGTCATTTTCTAGAAATTGATTGAACTTTGTAAATGAAAGAGCAAGACAATGAGTAATCGCGAGAGAAAAGCTTAGAATCAAAATAAAAAAGACAATATGAGAGATAGAATGAGAGTGAGATGAGAAGTTGATAGTGAATTATTGTGTGAGATTTATGGTGGGATTAAGGGAGATTTTTGAGCATATTTTCGGCTTGTGACCGTTGGAACTGTGAAGGGCCCAATGGTCACAAGCTTCGCGGGCTTAGGCGGGCTTATGGCAGGCTTTCTCGAGGGCCAAATCATTCGTGGGCCGGGCTGAACAAAGGCCTAATCTAGGCTTAGGCCAAACTGGGCTTGGGTCAGGCCGCGAACTTCAAGGGCTAGGGCCGCGGGCTGCCCTGGTCCAGTACCAAATTTTATAAGGTATTTTTAAAAAAGTCTTTAAAATATGATATTTGAACCAGACTGGTCATTCCTAAAAGAGAGAGGATCAATCAACCCGACTCTAAACCCAAAAAATTTAGTACCGATCCGGGCCGAGCCCATCCCAAACTTGCAAATCTTGGTCGAACATATTTTTTTCTGAAAATATTTTTAGATCATTTTTGGTATTCTTAAAGATTTGAATTTTTTAGGTTTTTTTATTTTTTTTCTCTCATAATAAGAGGAAAAAGTAATATTTTGAGTAATCAAGGGGACACTTTTGGAAATTTGACTTTACATTTTAACAGCATGGGGCTAGTCTACTCAAGTCGATTAGGTTTAACGTTTTCAGAAGAAATCATTGGTCTGGGTTTAGGCTACATCTTCTTTCCTCCATTGTCGTCTCTTCCGAGCTCTCTCTCCTCTCTCTCTTCAACCTATCACTTCCCTTTTTTCTGCATCAGACTTCTAATTTTATTCAACCTTCTTCTCATCAGACTTCCCTTTCTTCTTTGAAGTGTTCGAACTCCGAACCAAAACGACCTGACCCGACCCGATCTGCCAAATGTACACGAAGAGAGCTGAAATCCTCTCATAGCTCTACACGAGGTATGTTCTCAGCCGCGCAACGCTTCTGCTTCCTTCAAATTCCTCGCTTTCTTGAGAAAAAAATCTCGGCACTGCTGCTGGATTGGCAGATTTCCAAAACCCTAGCAATGGGTACCAATTAAAAGTTGCTTTCGAGTATGGTGGAAACCTTAGGGGTGCAAATCCCACGGGATTTCAGAACAAGCCGTGGAGATAAAGCCATGGAAATGAGTTTGTGAAGAGTGGGGGAGATTATCTGCAAAGTAATGGCAGGGATTTGAAGGAAACCTCAAATGGGTTTTACCAGAATTATGATCGGAAGCGAAATCGTAGTGGGTTTCGAAGTCAAAGCCATGGAAATGATTTTGCCCAGAATGGAAACTGTAGTGGAGGTTATGCGCAAGGGTTTTATCAGAATTATGATCGAAACAGAAACCTTAGGGCTTGTTTTTTGAGTGAAAAACTCAAAAAAATGCAATTCGAGTTATAATTTTATTTGAGTTCATGTTCTTTTAAGTTTAAACTCGAGTTTAAATTCGAGTTTAAACTTAAAAGAACATGAATTCGAATAAAGTTGTAACTCGAGTTTAGAACTAAAACTTGAGTTTAAGGCCCCGTTTATTTTCTTGATTCGAGTTTTTAATTTGAGTTGAGATGTGATTTTATGTGAGAGCTTTTTACTGTAGTAAAAAAGTTAGATGTGATTGTTTGTGGGAACTTCTTACTGTAGCAAAACTCGAATTCTAAACTCGAATCAGCGAAATGAACGAGTCCTAAGTTTCCCCTTCAACTCGAGTTCAGAAATTCGAACTCAAATTAATGAACAATATTTTTTCTATTCTTAAAAAGGTATAACTTTTTCGTTTTAATTCTGATTGAGATGATTTTTTTTCTATGCGTTGACAACGAAAAGACGAATAAAACCCGACCCATATACCATATTAAAATTTTTCATCAGCATTGAGTTTTTATTAAAATACTATCTAAATACAAATTCAAGTTTTGACTCACTCAAACACAAACTCAAAAAGATTCTTATCTCAAATCATAACTCAAATGTATACAACCAAACACAAATTCAAGTTACAAGTTCAACTCAAGTTATAACTTAAATTCAACTCAAGAATTATACTCAAGTTAAACTCCAAAAGAACAAGCCCTTAGTAGTGTAATTTTGATTCGCATCAAAATTTAAATAACTTTCCAAAGAAAATCATTTTTACTGTTTTTTATTTTCATTTTGAAAATATTAATTAAATAAATATCACTTCCTTTTAAATTTCATTTTTTTCTTTTCGGAACACATGAAAAACATTTTTTTTCAATGTGTTTAGAATCAATTTTGTTTTTATTTTTTACGTTTTTTAAGACAAAAAAATAAGATTAAGAGGAAAAACGTGTTTGGAGGAAAAAATATAAGAAACCCGAAAACAATTTTATTTTTTAATTTAGTGTGAAATCACTTAGGGTTGTTTGGTTGGGGGATTCGTACTCTGATTCGAATCATGGTTCATGGTTCGCTACAGTATTTTCTCTCATAAAAAATACACATAAATCAAAAATAATTCTAATATTATGATTCTAATTTATAAACCAAACATTAAAAAATGAAAACAATTTGAAGTTATTTTTTATTTTTTGTTTCTATTCTTTAAGGAGATGCATTTTTCTTGGGCACGTAGGTTAAAATATATAATTAAATAGAGTTTTAATTTTTCTTAAATTAAAAATAATCTCTTAATAAAATTATTAAATATATTTTTAAAAATAATTTTTATCTAAAATTAAAAACATTTTTATTTCTAATTTCATACAAAACATAAAATCATTTTAAAACTAATGAGTCGTTTAGTTCATGAATTAGAATCATAAGATTAAAATTATTTTTGATTTATGTGTATTTTTTATGAGAAAAAATACTGTAATAAATTATAAATCATGATTCAAATCGTTCCTTGATTTGAATCATGATTCATGGTTCGCTACAATATTTTCTCTCATAAAAAATTCACGTAAATCGAAAATGGTTCAAATCACATGGTTTGAATCTTCCAACCAAACGTCCTCTAAACAACCCTTAATTTGAAACGCACATTTAGGGCCCGTTTAGTTCGCTGATTCGGGTTTTTAATTTGAGTTGAGATGTAATTTTATGTGAGAACTTTTTATTGTAGTAAAAAAGTTAGATGTAATTGTTTATGAGAACTTTTTACTGTAACAAAACTCGAATTCTAAACTCGAATCAACGAAATGAACGGGGCCTTATTTTCCCTTTCTACTTCTTTTCTTCTCCCATTTTCACCCGCCGCTATCTCCTTCTCCTGTTCTACAGACAGCTCCACCGCCGCTTCTTCTTCTTCTTCTTTCATCTCCGTCCTATTATCTCCGTCATCTCTCTGAACTCTCTGGACTATCTCCGCCCTATTCTTTGCTTCTTCTCGGTGTTGGGGAAGTCTTCTTCTCGGCGGATCGGCCTACGGGAAGTCTTCTTCTTCTTCTTCTTCTTCTTCTTCTTTGCTTCGGCAGCTCCGTTTCAGGTATTTCCCATTTCTCTCCATTTCTCGTTTTTTTTTTCTCCTTTTTCTCAATAAGAAGCCCTACTTACTGAGTCAAAGTTTGTCTGAAATGATCTGTTCATGAAAATACTGTGTTGAGCTCAACAAGATTAAGTGGTCAAGCAAGCACTTTGTGAATTTTACTAGGAGCTTCTGAAAATCCTAAAGGGGAAAAAAAAAGACACCAATATCTCACCCCACAACGGATTTCTGAGTCGTCCGAGGGGCTATATATATTGCAGAGGTTGGAAACCTGCTTTGGAAACCATTAGAGAAACATGTTAAGGATTTAAATTACGGAGGATTTTTTTTTTTCTAAAGAAAAATTTTGTTTTTCCCCCTTTTTATTAGTGGGAATTTTGGTCAGAGAAAAATGGCCTCAAAACAAGGCAGGTTTGATCAGTGTTTATGTTGTATTGAGCTTGTAAGTGTTAATAATTCATAGATGGTGAAGTTGAGTTGGAATACTTTTACTAGTACTGTTAATATATAAATTCTTATGGTGTCATAAGCTTAGATCTTTTGTTATTTTGGCGATGAAGGAGATCGACTCCGATCTGGATTTCGATTACCACCCAACTGAGTTCTAGTGTCGCAACACCTCCCACGAGGTTTTGGTTTTACAGCGTGATGCTTTGCATTGTTGATCTAATTTTGATTTTGGTCCAAAAATTTTGACTTAGATTCTGTGGTAAAAAAAATTATTTTGCACTGGTGTGATTTTGGGTTTTCAACCAGATATCGGAAGATTAAAATTAGAACAATAAAGGAACTTAGAAAAAAAAAAATAATAAAGATCTCTTTGCTCGTTACCCTGAATGATAGAAATCGTTAAGATTGTAATTACAATACTAGGGGAAAAAATGAAGAAAGTAGCCCTCCACCTATTACAACGTTGCCATCAACATGGCACGGATTTTGGCTCTTAAATCATCCACCATGGCTTCAAGGGTCTGTGATGGAGCAGTTTCTTGTTGATGCAATTTTAACAAATCTACAGGGGTTTCCCTACTAGCTCCTTTACTTTTCTTTCTTTCGATTGAAACATCTTTGTCGGTTTCAAATTTTCAATTTTAACAAATCTCTAATTTTGAAATTTTTGATTGAAAACTTTTCACCTCCCATTTTTTGTATCAGACTTCTAATTTTCTTCGACCTTCTTCTCACCAGACTTCTCTTTCTTCTACGAAGTGTTCGAACGCCGAACCAGCACGACTTGGCCCGACCCGATCTGCCAAATGTACACGAAGAGAGCCAAAATCATCTCGCCCAATTCTCTCGTAGCTCTACACAAGGTATGTTCTCAGCCGCGCAATGCTTTTGATTCCTTCAAATTCCTCGCTTTCTTGAGAAAAAATCTCGGCACCGCCGCTGGATTGGCGGATTTTCAAAACCCTAACAATGGGTACCAATCAGAAGTTGCTTTTGAGTATGGTGGAAACCCTAGGGGTGAAAATCCCACGGGATTTCAGAACAATCTGTGGGGACAAAGCCATGGAAATGAGTTTGTGAAGAGTGGTGGAGATTATCTGCAAAGTAATGGTGGGGATTTGAAGGAAACCTCAAATGGGTTTTACCAGAATTATGATCGGAAGCGAAACCCTAGTGGGGTTAGAAGTCAAAGCCATGAAAGTGACTTTTCCCAGAATGGAAATTATGGTGGAGTTTATGGGCAAAGTAATAATAATCTACAGCAGAATTCAAATGGGGTTTACCAGAATGATAGTGGCGGTCATTTTGAGAACTCCAGCAATACAAGTGTTAACAATTCAAATGGGAAAAATGGAAACTTTAGTGGGTATTATGGTCAGAGTAATGGAGTATTGCAGCAGAATTCAAACCCGAATAGGGAATATGGAGGAAATTGGAATATGCAGAATATATATGACTCGTACCAAGGGAGAGCCGTAGAAATGAAGCAACAGAACCCAAGTGGGTTTAGTTCACAAGGGATTTCAGGGGTTGAGGGAAATCCAAATCGGAACTATATGCAAATGCATTCATCGCAATTTCAGCAAAGTCTGAATAATCAGTACGCTGGAAATGTCGGAATGAATCAGCAGAGCCCTAGTTACGGCCAATATCAACAAAACTATCAGCCAAACCAAAATGGTTTTCATAATTCAATGGTGGCTCCTCAAGTACCGAGTTCTCAGATACCCGAAGGAGCGCCGGCTGAAGCTTCTGGTAGTAGTCCTTGTGGTGGTACCCTTGAAGAGCTAGATAATTTTTGCAAGGAGGGAAAAGTCAAGGAAGCTGTAGGGGTTTTGGGGTCATTAGAAAAATGGCATATTCCTGTGGATTTGCCACGGTATTTACAGTTAATGCAGGCTTGTGGAGAGGCTAAAGCGCTGGAAGAAGCAAAAGTCGTTCATGAATACATTCTTAAGTCAGAGTCCACTCCACACGTGAGCACTTATAACAGAATCCTAGAGATGTATTCGAGATGTGGTTCTATGGAAGATGCATTTTCGGTGTTTGACAAAATGCCAGAGCAGAATTTGACATCATGGGACATTATGATAACTTGGCTTGCTAAGAATGGTTTTGGGGAGGATGCCATCGAGATGTTTACCAAGTTTAAACAAGCAGGACGGAGACCTGATGGTCAAATGTTTATTGGGGTTTTCCACGCTTGCAGTGTTGTTGGAGATATTGAAGAAGGAATGTTGCAGTTCAAGTCGATGAGCAAAGATTTTGGCATTATCCCAACCATGGATCATTATGGGAGTGTAGTAGATATGCTAGGAAGTACAGGCTATCTGGATGAAGCTTTGGAGTTCATTGAAAAGATGCCATTGCAGCCCACTGTAGATGTTTGGGAAACCTTGATGAATTTTTGCAGGGTTCATGGGCACATGGATCTCGGGGATCGTTGTGCTGAGCTTGTTGAGCAGCTAGAACCCTCCCGCTTAACTAAAGAGCTGAAAGCTGGACTTGTTCCAGTGAAAGCTTCAGATCTCGGAAAAGGAAAGGAAAAGAAGAATCTAGTAGCTCAAAATATTTTAGAGGCAAGGAGCCGAGTCCATGAATATCGAGCAGGAGACACTTCCCATCCCGAAAATGATAAGATATATGCTAACCTTAGGGGCTTGAGGGAACATATGAAGGAGGCTGGCTATATACCCGAGACTAGATTTGTCTTACATGACATCGATCAGGAAAGTAAGGAAGATGCACTTCTTGCTCATAGTGAGAGACTGGCTCTTGCCCAGGGCCTCCTCAGCACCTCAGCTCGTTCGCCTATTAGGGTTATTAAGAATCTCCGTGTTTGTGGTGATTGTCATAATGCACTGAAGATTGTTTCAAAGATAGTTGGCAGAGAGCTCATCATGCGAGATGCAAAGAGGTTCCATCATTTCAAGGATGGGTTGTGCTCCTGCCGAGATTATTGGTGAACAGAAATGATACTTGAGGTGCGTTTAATCTCTCTTTCAATATATATATATATATATATATATCCTAGTACCTAGAAAAAGGCCTTCTAGGCTTTACAATCACAATAATATTTCCTTTTATGAAATTTGAGATTGTTGGGCTAGATAATATACTTTTTACTTTATAGCTCTATAATGTCCATGAACCAAAAGCCATTTGTTCAAAGTATTCTATTATGAAACTTTTGCTTAAAAACTGAGCGGTGGTCGTAAGGAATTTTGCAACTATACGCTGTCTGTCAACCGAATCCCTTGTATGAATCTTCATAGTTCTACATCATTGTAAAAGTGCATGCTAACTGCTGAATTATTTGAGGCGTGTTGTATGCTTTTCTCTGCCGTTGTACTACTTGTGCTAAACTTCTGTAATGGAACTGCCTTCCAGGACAAACATATTGCCTCGACTGTAAAAATGTTCTTTGCTGCTTCAGCTTGTGGAGTCCTCACTCGGAGAACGTGAGTGGAATCTGTGTTATAATTTATAATCCTCCTCAACCTAGGACTTTATATAAATACTGGATTTACCAATTTTTTGAACTTTTTCCAAATTGTGGTCGTATGAGGTGACCGATCTTCCTTCACAATGCAATGTTCGGTCACTGCGAAGAGTATTAGCGCCGCCCTTATCGGGATTTAAGTATGACATGCTGCAGGACGTGATTCTTGTATTCTTTAGTTCAACTCTATTTACGTGAAATAACTGAAAATTTTCTCTACCATTTTTGTAGTCCATAGATTCGTTCCTATGGTGTTATATATACACCCTATTCTCATGATCAATAACACAGGTCAATTTGAAGTTTGGTCCGGGCATGAGACTGAGGAGATATGTTACTTTTCTTCAAGAAACTGAAAGAATGAAAACTATGGTTTATGCTTTTAACTTGGCTCCCTGATTGTTTTTTTGATGATGAATGTTGGATAAATCTATATTCAGAAGTTGTTGACTTATTTATTTGTTTATTTTTTCCTGTTTGTTGATAAATTGGTCAAAGCTACTACTACAGTTGTTTTGGGCACCCCCCCCCCCCCCCCCCCCCTTTTTTTTTTTGTTAAAACCAACTGTGTTTTTGAAACATGGGTTAAATCCCGGAAACAAAAGGCTTGTTCTTTTCAAGTAAAATTTAAAAAAAATTTGAATTTAAGTTACAATTTTTTTTAAATTCATGTTTGTTTGTAAAATTTGAGTTTGAACTTGAGTTTGAGGATAAAATCTGAATTCAAGTTTCCTCTTCAACTCAAGTTCTTAAACTTAAACTCAAGTTAATGAATAATATTTTTTCTATTTTTAAAAACGTCATAATTTTTTTATTTTAATTCCGATTGAGATGTTTTTTTATATGCATTCACAATGAGGAGATGAATAAAATTTCATCTATATACCCTATTAAAATTTTTCATCACCATTGAGTTTTTATTAAAATATTATCTAAATACAAATTCAAGTTTTGATCAATTCAAACACAAACTCAAATAGATTCTCAATTTAAATTATAACTTAAATATGCACATTCAAATACAAATTTAAGTTACAATTTCAAAATAAATTATAACTTAAATTCAACTTAAAATCTACACTCAAATCACTATAATATAAAATTACAACCGAACAAACCCAAACAATAAATTCAAAATAAGTGCAATGTAGACGCAAAACAAATAAATAAGGATTCAAAATAACTGTTTTAAAGTGTCGCATAATTTTTCAAAACAATTTAAATATCTTAATTTTTTAAAACGGTTTAAACCTTCTAATGTATAAAAAACAGTTTAAAATCACGCCTCCATCCACTTCCGTCTACAAAACTTACTAATGGAAAACCTGATGTGGCACTAATTTTATAATTTTAAACCGAAATAAATTGAAAAAAATTAATTTATTAAAAAATTAACTTAAATAATAAAAATCTAAAATTATAGAAAGACTTCTGAAATTATTTTGCAAAAACCAACAAAAAAAAAAAAATTTAAAAACAATAACAATAATAAATCAAAACAAATTCCCTCCCAAACCCAGAAAACCTTATCTTCCCACCACCCCCATCAATACCCAGAAAACAAATCCCCTCCCTCGACGACAAACCAAGCTCGGACTTCGGAGGCTCACTAAAGTGCAATCAAAGGCGTCTACGCCACTATAAGCAAGGAAACATCTAAATCTTAAAATTCCTGAATTCAAAAACGTCAAAGAAATTAGATCTAGATTACCCTCGATCTCTCTCCATCTCTCCCCTTCTTGATCTATTGCTCTCATTCCAAGCGCAGATCAGCTCTGAGCACGAGGTTGGCAGGGAGCGGCAGCCGTGCAGGGTCCACTTTGCGTGGGTTGCAGGGCGGGGATGCGACGGCATTCGAGGTGTTGGGTTGCGAAGGCGAGAAGAGGTGGACAGCGGGAGATAAATGGTGGTTTCAACATTTTTGTATTTGCTTTGTTTGAACGGAGAAGAAGGTTAGAGATGAGGAAGAATGTGTTTTTCAGATTTGTTGGTTATTTTTTGTTTGTTTTTATGTTATTTAATCAGTTTGATCTACTTTTTATTTTTGTTTTTCTAATTTTTATTTTGTTTGTTTTCCAATTAGTCTTTAAATTAAGGTTTATATTTTAGAATAACTTTAATAAACTTCTAATGACATGCCATCTCACCATGTCGTTTAAAATTAGTCAGAAGTGGGAAGAGAGAGTATTTTGAATCATTTTCTATATATCAACGATGTTTTGAGTTGTTTTAAAAAATTAGAAGGTATTTTGAAATATGATATATAATTTAGGGTATTTAAGAAAATAATTTAATAAATAATAAGTAATGCAAAATATGACCAAATTTGAGACTTCACAGATGGCGGCTCTCCCGAGGGTTATACACTTCTACTTAGGATTTTATTCAGTAAATTTTATCAGTTCGAGTTTAAAATTCAAGTTTTGTTACAGTAAAAATTTTTTAAAAACAGTCGTATATAATTTTTTTATTATAATAAAAAACTCATATTAAATCACATCTCAACTCGAATTAAAAATTTAAATTAACGAACTAAACAGACCCGAAGAATATTATAGTATGATCCTTCATATATCCACAAGTCCGATGGAATTATCAAACGTTCTTCTACCTTTATTCTGGACTTCAAGAACACACGAAAATCTAGTCAGTGTCAAAATTTCCCATTGAGATCAACCTTACAATATTGTTGTTCTTTAAAATTGGCCTCTTTTTTTTTTGCATGATGAAGAGAATGCATTTTTGGAGAATGGTCTAGCTTCAAAGTTGGTCTCTGTGTTTTTAATTAGTGGATTCGTGTCATAATTCGAATCATAATTTATAATTCGTTATAGTATTTTTTATAAAAAAAAATACACGTAAATTAAAAATAATTTTAAATTTATCAACCAAACTCATTTCTCATTTAATTTGAAACAAAAAAAAATAAAAAATAAAAAGCAATGATCTCACCGGACCCCATTATGTGGACCCCACAAAACAACAAGAACTGTACGAGCCGCACGGAGACGTTTTCCACTCAATACTAAGTAGAGAGTTTAATGATATGACCTTGAAAAATGTCCCACATCGACAGCGCATTGAGATGTAAAGGACTTTTTATATGATGAGACTCAGATTACTGGACACGACCTTACTTGAACAGGATCTGTTCTATAGGCTCGTACTTCTGAATCCTTGAGTTCTAAGGAGACAGGAACCTCAACCTGGTGGATGAATCACGACCGTGTGATCAGAGCGTGATTAACGGCTTGATGGTCTGTAAAGACCATCGAAGCTGTAGAGGATCGTTCTCAGTCAGTTCGCTGGCCGGGGGTGGTCACACGGTTGTCTGACAGGCACTTTTTTGTATTATTTTTCTTTTTGTTTTCTAATTTTTCTTCCTGCATTTTTATATTCTTAATTAATTACACAGCTAATTAAGTGAAGATGATTTTATAAACCGATGTCAAATTAGTAAACTTCTGATAATTGATTAATTTAAGAGCACTTTTCTTCATCACCACAAAAGGCGCGTTGTAATTCATTTTAAAATAATTTTATTTTTTGTATAAAAATAAAAATATTTTTAATTTTAAACAGAAATTATTTTTAAAATACATTTGATAGTTTTGTAAACCGATTATTTTCAGTATAAAAAAATTTATTAACGTCTCTTTCTTTGCTCGAGAGAGGACAAAACGAAAACAAAAAATAAAAAATGACTAAAAGTCATTTTTCATTTCTCCCATTTTACACTAAACTAAAAAATCGTTTTTATTTCTTGTTTTATCTTTATTGCGCCAAATACCGTTTTGAAAGTTTTCATTTTTTCTTTCTCAAAAAACGTAAAAAATAAAAACGAGATTAATTCTAAATACGGCCAAAACATGTCACTTTTTTTTTTTTTTGGGAACTTTTTCATGTGGACAAGTGCTAACGCCTAGGGCCTACACATCTTTATGTTAACCTGGTTATCCATTTTCCGTAAGATGTAATTTTCTTGCACATAGAGAGAGAGGTTAAGGTGATTTATAAAGTATAACATGTGCATTGATTCTTACAAGACCAAACTCTCAGTAACTGACATAGAAACCGACGATGAAACCTTCCAAACCAAGACATATTGCACATCAATGCACTAAATCTTCTAGTGTCCTTTCTTTGCTTTTTCTTCTTTTTTTATTTTATTTTATTTTATTTTATTTTATCTATCACTACTCATATTGATATTGAAGCACTATAAATTTGTGGGGTTTCCTTTGATTGTTTTTTGTTTCTATTTTATTGCTTTCAGTAGTAACGGATTAAGGTGTCTAATTCAAAATGGTATGGTCATGATAAAACCAAAATGTTTCTTTCATTTTCTTTTTCTTGAGAATAATGTTTCTTTCATTTTCTAGTTCTTATGATAAGTAACGACATGCTTACTATATTAGCCGCACAAAGATGAAAAGTTATAAAACTGTAGACTGATATGCAGAGTCACTTTCTCAATCAAGGCCTTAGTCATACTTTTCTTTAGAATGCAGACTACTGGTATAGTTCACGAGAAGAAACTAACATAACCAACAGAATACCTAACTCAAATGGCTTATATGGGCGGCTGAGAGAGAACCTTTCTCCCAACCACATTTCCAAGACTATATATATACATATACATATATATATATATAAAGATCACGAGAGTGCACTAAACTACTAGAAAGGGCTCTTACACTGCAGGCTATACTTGTCTGTTTTTGAAGAGGACAAAGAAGAATAGTGTTTGAGATGACAAGTGTGTGGTTGATATATAATATATATCTATATATATATATATATATATGCCGAGTTGTTCTATCAGTTTTAGACTCTGTTGTGTTAGTTTTGTCTATTGGGCATTTGAACACAACAATAGAACATGTCAGTGCACATGTGAGAAGGCCTTGTATCACTATCAGTGATAAGAGTTTTCACATGGTTTCAGAATCAGAAGAAGCCAATTAGGGAATGCATATCTTATACCCTTGTTTTAGATTCATGACGCTTGGCCTTCCTTGTATGTAAACAACAAGAAGAAATGCTTTCTGGGATAGAATAGAATGCCCTTTTCAAGTTATCAAAATTTATAATCCGATTGAAAATCGAAAAACAACACTTCCAACATTGTTACTATTTGCCATATTGGCTAGAATTTGAATAGAGTTGGAATAGTTGTCAGCAATGGAAAATAACGCTCTTCATGAATAAGATTGTGTAAATAGAGAGATCTCATACAACAAATGAAAATTCTAATAAGAAGGAACAAAGCTGCTATGATGTCCCATCAGTTAAAAATAAATTTTATGCAACCACTAATAGTTCACACATAAGGACAAAGGTTGTGATATTGTCGTTTTGGAAATCACAAGTTCTGAAAGGAACTGATATCTGTAAATGTCGCATATATCATTCCATGCATAAAACATACAGTTGATTCTCTAAATCTTGGAGTGACAGATAGGATTGCTATATGTATGTATATATATATATATATGTGTGTGTGTGTGTGTATATATATGTGTGTGTGTGTGTGTATATATATGTGTGTGTGTGTATATATAGTCCTTACTACCTCGATAGCCATTCACAATTTGTATAGTTTCTTTTGAGTCAGTCTTTTTGTAGCAGTTTTCTTATTTCTGAAAATATGAAAATGGCAAAAGGGCTAAGCTTTTTGATGTTCTCGTCCGTTGTGTTCTTTCTTCTGATTGCAGAGAACCATGTAAGCAACAACAAACTTAAACTCTTTCGTTTCTCAGTGATCAAAATTCGAAAATATGTCGCCGGTTAAATTTGTAGGCAGTAAAGCAGAGAGATTATCATGGCCAGTGGCCAGTTTCCACCTATAATTTTTCTTTTTTTAAAGTTGAAAAAATAGTATGGTTTAGGTGGTGAATTAACAAGGAGAACATTTTTCTTTTTTTCAGTTCCTTTTCTTTACAATGTAGAATGCATATTTAACCCATGCAATGATACCATTAAGGTTTGCCAGTATACTTTCTTAAGACCTCTTCTTTTCTTTTTTGTTTTGTTTTGTTTTTGTTTTTTTAAAGAATTACTTCTTAGACATTGACCTCTGTAAAATGAGTGAAAGAATACTAAAATCTCGTTTAGTTTATGGATTCGAGTTTTCAATTTGAATTGAGATATTACTTTACGTGAGAGCTTTTAATTATAATAGAAAAGTTAGATGTAATTTTTTATGAGAATTTTTAACTGTAAAAAATTGAAATTAAAAACTTGAATCGGTAAAATAAACGAGGCCTAAAATTTTTATTTAATTATGATTTGTTTGATTCTGATAAACGTGAGTAATTCGTATATTGTTTGCAGGCTAATAATAGCATCTCTGAGGCACCATCACCACAGCCTCAATATAATAGTACAAGCGGTAGCCATTACATGGTGAGTATTATGTTTAAGAATTTGCATCTCAAAATTATTCTCGATTTATGTGTATTTTTTATGAAAAAAATACTGTAACGAGTTACGAATCATAATTCGAACCATGACATGAATCTTCATATCAAACACATTGTTTTTGTTGATTAATTTTACTTCTAGTTTGATTGACATTTTTGTTTTTTTATTTTTTATTTTTTATTTTAAATTCAGCGGGGCATCACTCAAGGCAGCCTTAAACCTGAGGGTACGTATATAGTTATATTTATTTGAATAAGGGTGATTATATTAATACACCTCCTAGCTTTAATATTTTCATAATTTATCTCTCTGTTTTTAGAAACTAAAAATGTATCCTTTAAAATAGTTTCATCTCCGTGCACTTTTGGACGAAAAAAAAAAGAAGAAAAAAAGAAAATATTCTTGAGTAGACCAAATTTAATTATTTTAAATAATATTTTCTTTTGAGAAAAATTTCTAAAAAAATGAAAATTGAACATTTTAAAAACATAAAATTTGAGATTTGAGATTTTGTTTCAGTTTTATATGCTTTTTATATGATTGAAATATTTTAACTCGTTTTTCGTCTACAAAATGAAAGATGGATGAATTATTTGAAACAATTTTTTTTTTTTATTTAAAATAAGTAATACCTTTGTGGTTTCTAAAATCAAACGGAAAAATTAAGAGAAAAAAAAAATTAAACTAATTGTATAACACAGTGCGCCACGCCATAAACTTTAAGCATCGTTCGCTTTGCGGATTCAAAATTTTAATTAAAGCTGAGATGTTACATTTTTTGAGAGCTTTTAACTGTAGCAGAAAAAATATGTGACATTTTCTGAGAGTTTTTAATTGTAAAAATTTAGAACTGAAAACTTAAATTAGTGAAATGAACGAAGTCTTAGTATCTTATTGGTCTCACATGTTTAAATTACGCTATAATGCTAGCACATAGCCAGATTAAGTGTGATAAACAACATCACTCTTATCAATTGCAAAACTCAAATTACAAAAAAAAAAAAAAAAAAAGAAAACAAAAAGTTGTTGGTGAATAATTTCAACCTAAAATGCGCAACAAAGAGGAATAAGTATATAAATTTTGCAGAGTGTGGCCCTCGTTGTACAACAAGGTGTTCGAACACGCAATACAGGAAGCCATGCATGTTCTTCTGCCAAAAGTGTTGTGCAAAATGTTTGTGTGTGCCTCCCGGGACGTATGGGAACAAGCAAGTCTGCCCTTGCTACAATAACTGGAAGACCAAGAGAGGAGGCCCCAAGTGCCCTTGAAGAATTAATTTAACCTCCTCTTTATATCATTATTATACATTCATGACTTTGTATTAATAATATTTTTAGTCGATGGACGAGGGTGGATGGCCGTCTTATCTGAACTTTTTTTTTTATTTTTCTTTTAGAGGACGTTTGGTTCATAGATTCAAAATCATTCTCAATTTATGTGTATTTTTTGTGAAAAAAAATACTGTAACGAACCACGAATTATGGCACGGATCATTACTCCAAACGCACCATTAATGTTGTATATGCTTATATAAAATTTGTATTTTACCCTTTTTAATTTTATATCATTTTATTTGTCCCAACTCATTAGTTCAGTCACGCGCGCCCTCATCTCCTTTACTAATTTTTCTGATTCCGCCTGTGTTTAGTGCTACTTTACACATGAATAAAACTACATTTGTTTTTTTTTTTTTGTTTTTTTTTTTTTTTAACGTAATTCTCTTAATCGGACAAACATTAGTTTTTTATACATAACAAATTATTGTAATGGCCTTTCGTGCAACAATTTGAAGACCTAGGGAGAAGCAAAACCTGTTATATGCCTGAAAGCTGGTGTGCGAAATCGGCTCAAGAAAATAAGAACCAATTTTGATCAAGACACTTTCGAGGACATGAGTGAAATTGTGCCCGTTTAGTTCGCTGATTCGAGTTGAGATGTGACTTTATGTCAAAACTTTTTATTATAGTAAAAAAGTTAGATGTAACTGTTTTTTAGAGTTTTTTACTGTAACAAAACTCGAATTTTAAACTTAAATCGGTGAAATGAACGGTTACGTTAGTTGGAAATTTCTCGACCTAACTATATAAAAGAGTATATGTATATATGTCCTGTTCGTTTTTTGATCGTCCAAAATGGTGTTTTGGCAGTTGCGCTATATATATATATATAGTCTTTATATTTTTTTTTCTTTCCTATCGTTTCTTCATGTGTATGTGTATATATATATTGATTTTTTAATCCCTTTTGAAGCTTTTAAGAGTTCGTCTGTAAACGAAATATGGAGTATTACAAGACTTGCTTAGTGTAATTCCCATTTGTTTTGTGTAACATTATCTTTAGTAGTTTTTAATCGTTTTTTAAACAGTCTTTGATTGAGATTCTAAAAGGGGGAAAAAAAATTAGAGTAACACCCTGTTCATGTAAAGCATTACATCAAAATGTTTAATAACTTTATTTTATTTATGAAATCCATGAAGTAAATACTTTAAACTTAGTTTAAATTGTTAGATAAGATAAATTTTTCACAAGCTAGCAGATATTGGCTCCGTTTGGTAATGCTTTTAGGAAGCCAAAAGCACTTTTTTTTTCAGCTGAAGCTCAAAAATATGTTTGGTACACACATAAAAATAGATTCTTAAAGAATCTAGAAGCTATTTTCCATCTGAAATCAGAAGCAGGTCACTTGCTGCTTCTGATTTCAGATTGTGCGGGAATCTGAAGGAATACATTAATGAAATTTTGGTTATTCCCAAAATAACCCATCTCTCCCTCGTCCTCGTGCACACATCTCCTCAGCCCCTCCCTGAAACTCTCAGCCTCTCAACTTTCACTCGTGCTCTCTCGCCTCAGCCTCTCAGCCTCCTCTCGTGCTCTCTCGCCTCACCCTCCCTCAGCATCTGGGCATAGGCTCCGTTAGTATGAATGCCATTGAAGAAACAGGGAGAACGGAAAAGAAATGGTCAAGATTATTTCTTTTAGTCTTGCAATATGCGTAAGTAGAAGGCTGTTATTTGCTCTTGTTATTTTGTTTAACAGTTTTCTCGCTAAACCCAAATCTGGGTTTTGTGTGCTCCGTTTGCTGGTTTGGCAATTGGTTTTTTTTTTCTTTAGGCCTTTTGTAAATCTTGCTTGTTTCTTTTGTTACTGTGAAAAGGGTTTATGATATTGGAAGAAATTTATGCCGGACGACTTGTATGAGGATTGTCAACTATGTGCCTGTGTTGCTATCGTTACTTTTTAATTCATTTTTTTTTAGTTGAATCATTGATGTTTGGTTTATTTCTTTCTTTTATCTTAAATTTAGGAATAGTTAAGAATTAGACTGAGAAGTGGCTGCCCAAAGTGTCAAAGAATGGTCAGGGATTAATTCATTTGCACTTGCCACTCAGACCAAGTTGCTCGAATTGCTGGGAAAACTCAAGCAGGAGGTTGAACTTTTATTTATTTATTTTTTCTCTTTAGTCATAATTTTATAATCTTGAATTCTTTTTTTCTTTGGACAAAAAATAGTTTTTTTTTTAATATGATTTTTGCTCACTAACATTAGTCCTTTTTAGGTTGTTGTCCTTTTCTCTTTGCTTGGTTGATTACTGTTTTAGTTTCGTTTGAAGGTTTTGAGTATTGCTTTCTATCATTTTTTTCACAAAGCCAGTGTGTTGCATTTTGCAGAGTTGATAACTTGGACAAGGAGGTTGTGAGAGCCATTACCAACAGTTTTGGCTAACGAATCTGGAATCGAGCTTTAGTTATCCTTACATATTGAAGTTACTGTTCTTTTCTTCTTCTTCTTCTTTTTTTTAATAGTTCAACAATTATAACATAATATTGTGTTTTTGAGCTTTCAATCCAAGGGGTTTTGGTCAACGCATTTTGTGAAGCTTTTGTTTATCCTTTTCAAGTTATTGACAAGATTGGCTATTCTTTGGAAATAAGTTCTTCCGAGTGGAATTGCTTGGATTTCTTATTTAGTTGAAAAAATCACGGAAGTGGCGTTGAATGGAAGCAAGTCTATTTTTGTTGATACGAAGTTAATTGAATGGCAAAACCCCAATGAGAGGGGGAAGACCTTCATTCATTTGATTTTATTAATCCAAGTAAGCCCGTGGAAATTTTCTTTTCGCTTTTTCTTGGGGAAGAAAGATCTTAAATTTTGTTTCTCTTTCCTTATTCAATGAATTGCTTTCAATTTGCCTTGTTTTTTGTAGTTCTTCTTTGCCATTAAACCAATTGAGCGGGCAATCAAGACGGATATTGCAAGGGAAAGCAGACCTGCATGGGAGATGCGGGATGCAAGCTTGGCCAGCCGCAAGTTCTGATTTGGCTTAGTATTTAGTTGTATTATGGATGTATGCCTTGATGCAGTTTTTCCTCTGTTCATGTTTTATCTACCAGTTGCAAGTAGTTGTTCCAATATTTTGCAGTAGCGACAATCTGCGGCAGTGGATTGTTTTAGCGTTTGGAGAGAACTGGATTTGTTGTTTGGCTTATGTTCTTCTGTTGGATCATCGATTTTGCTAATAATATAGTAGGTATTTCTTCTGTTCAAGATTTATTTGTTTGATTTTGCTTTGAGAGTATGACAAGTCAACATGTGTCAAGGGTGAGAGCTGATAGTGAAGCTTATTTTTTCTCGAAGGAGTTCTTGCTCAAATTTCAAATGCTATTTTGGAAAATAGCGTCCTCATATTTGTTAAGAGTAAACGACATCTTTTAGAACAGAGTAATTTTGCTGTTGAGATGAGGAGAGAATATTTTATCGCCAAATTGGATAAAATTGCTCGTCTGTTGGCTGTTGATAGTAAGTTACTTGAAAAGTAAATACATTCTTACAGATTAGGCTTAAGACTCAAATCTTTTTTGTGTAGTATTCCTACAAATTATAATTACTTCTGTGGCTACTTTTTTGTAGCATTATACAAATGTAGATTTTGAAGTAGTAAAAGATATAGGTCGGGTGATTGCAACCATATGGTATTTGGTTGTGTTAATAAGATTGACAATTTATCATTATGCTATTTTTAGCTGTAATTATATTGTGAATGAAGGAATGAAAAAAAGAAAATTAATTATCATAAATTTATTATTAAAAAATTTAAAATCATAACATTATGGTTTTTTTTTTAAATACCAAAAATAATTATATATATTTAAATTTCATAACATATCTATTTTGGTCATTTTACATACTCACAGCAATTCCACATCAAAATTTACCAAACGCTATTTACTGATTTTGGAATCAGCACAGCTACTATAATTACAATTTACCAAACACTTAGCTACTTTTTGAAACAGCTACTTTTTTTTTCAGCACAGCCAAAAATATTTTTTTTAAAATCCACAGCATTACCAAACTAAGCCATTGCTTAACTTTACCTTATTGCTTTCTTCAAGTTAGATATAAAATATGCGAAAAAGGTGCCAAATAAGAGTTATAAAATTATTTTGCATTTTGTTGTTAATAAGATTTCTTCTAATTAACTAATGATAAATTTGTTGCTATTTTGTAGCTAATTATTTTTAATGTATTTTGTGTTGATGAGGTGTATTTTTTTTATCTTATAATGTTAGAATGTTTGATGATATGATTCTACCGTAAAATGTGAATTTTTTACGCAACTATTATTATTGGAACAAGAATCGAGACAATAATGAAAAAACTCGGTTGGTTTCTGCTAGTTTTGAGGTATAATAACGAAGCAATTTACAGGCAATAATCTATGTTTTCTTGTAGTAACGTAGCAGTTTATAGGATTTTTATTTTTTATTTTATTTAATTAATATAAAGTATAGAGAGAGAGAGAGTTTGCGGCAGGGCCGGTGCATTGCCGGTCCTCTGCCTTTCTTTGTTCGGGGGTTGGTCGTCGACCGATTTGCACGCTGTTGGGGTTCGTGCCGCCAGAGGAGGAAGTTTAGGCTTGGGTCGAAGTTCAAGTTAGTCTTGGGGAGAGGGTTGGCCATCGCCGATCTAGGTCTGGTTTCGCAGGAGGGAAGAGCAACTGTCATCCACAAAGAAGGAGGGAGGCTCAGTTCGCTGCTGGAATCGGGCTGGGTCAGTGGGGTGGTCGATGTTGGCTTGGTAGAGGGTTGCTGCCACGGGTTTGGCAGCGGTGGGTGAGATGGGGCAGATCTGGGACGCCCGAGGGCTTTTTCGTGGAGGGGTTTTCGGAGCTCTGTGGTGGTCAGGTGGTTGGAGCTGGGTGGCTGGGGCCTGTGGGAGGTTGGCGTGGAGGGACCTCGGCTTCACGGATTGTTGTGGCGGTGCCGCTTGGACTTTGTGTTATCTGTTATTTTTGTACTCTGTGTTTGGTGTAATAAGGGTGGCGGTCTCCCCACTAACCTTATATGTTGTGTTTAGTGTTTTGTATTGTGTTTGTGTGATGGGTTTGACCTGGAGGATGGTTTCCCCATGCTTCTAGTGTTGTTCGGTGGTGTCTTGTGTCGGGAATGGGTCAAGGTGGGGTGTTCTGTGGTTGTTAGGATCATTGACAGTAAGAGTTTAGCTTCGTTCAGGGTTAGAGTTTTATTTAGCTCTGTCGATC